TTCGTATGCTATATATGAAATCAACATCATCTTGCATTTAAAAAAAAATGAACACAATTTATTTTGCAGCTGTAGATATTCCTTTCTTTCAAACAAAATATATAAATTATTAACTCTTGTGACTGAACCATTTGAATGGAAACGTGAAGTTGAATGAAATTTTTATGTTACAATCAAATGGCTGCCAAATTATCATTCATCGTTTATCGCTAAAATTAAATCATGCGGAAGGTTGTGAAACGTATTGAGATTTTATCGCTAAAGTTTAATCATGCTGAATGTTGTGAAACTTATTGAGATTTATGATAACTGAGGATAAGGATGTTATACTGGTTAATGATACATTATTTAAGAGCTAAATTTGCGTATTGCAGATCTTTCCTTTGACTTCAAATGTTATATAAATAATTAATGCGACATGTATACTCTGGAAATATTTCTGGAAAACGTTTTCTTGGGCTTTCCTATCTTATGGTACATAGGTGAAACTTGTGATGGGTCTCTTTTTGTGGAGTTCTGGGTTTGAACCCAATATCAGTTTTCGGTAATGAACTTTGTTCCTGTAAACGCAACACTTGTCTTTTTTCGCGATTTTGAGCAGTCCCATGTCACACGTTTTCAACGTGCATTCCCTGAACTCTGGCCCTTTAAATACAGATCAAAATTTCAATATTCATCACTTTGGAAAAATGCCACGCCTTACACAAAAAAACCAGGAACAGAGCTATTGGCATGCTGGATCAGGGGGTTTCACAGGTAGCCGTCGCCAGACACATTAATGTCCACCCATCGACCATTACTCGCCTCAGACAACGCGTCCACGCCACTGGAAGAGTTGCCGATCGACCCCGACCTGGAGCGCCACCTGTAACAACCGCTGCTCAAGATCGCCACATCCGACTACAGTACAACATCTGCGGAACAGGTTCCAGTCAGCTATTGCGTGCTGGAAAGGGATCGTTTCGGGGGGAGGTGGCGTCATGCTTTGGGTCGCTATCAACGTCAACCTCCGGTCCCAGTTGGTGGTGGCTCAAGGCAATCTCAACGCTCAACATTATGTTGACGCCATCCTTCGTCCCGTGTTGCTTCCATTGCTGGCTTAACATGGCGTCCGTCGACAAATGGTTTCCCAGCATGACAACGTCTGACCCCACACTGCTAGGTTGACAAGGGACTTTCTGAACAATCATCATGTCCGTGTTATGGATTGGCCCGCTATAATCAACTCTCTAGAACTTCGGGGGTTTTGATTTTCAACAAATTTATTATTTTATTCAACCAGCGGCTGCCAGGCAGGATACGCCCACATTTTGGAGAGATGGATAGAGAACAAGCTAAAAAGAAAGTGATTTTTCGTACAATCAGGGGCCATAATTCAGGAAGTTACGGTCCGATATGCACGAATATCGAAAGGAACCGAGATCTGTGGGTTATAAACTTACGTTTCAAGTTTCAACAAAATCGGATAAAAATTGTGACCTCTATAGGGTCCACAACCTTGATATACCATATTCTTACGCTATTTGAGAACGAACGGCGGCCATTTTGTCTGTCAATTTTGGGCCGATTTTCACGAAATTTGAACTCAGTTGTCCTTAGGGTGTAACGGTGATATAATAATACGTTTTTTAAATCGGATAAAAATTATGACCTCTATGGGGTCCACAAGCTAAAAACGCGATTTTTCGTACAATCAGGGGCCATAATTCAGGAAGTTACGATCCGATATGCGCGAATGTCGAAAGGAACCGAGATCTTTGGGTTATAAACTTACATGTCAAGTTTCAACAAAATCGGTTAAAAATTGTGACCTCTATAGGGTCCACAACCTTGATATACCATATTTTTACGCTATTTGAGAACGAACGGCGGCCATTTTGTCCGTCAATTTTGGTCCGATTTTCACGAAATTCAAACTCAGCCGTCCTTAGGGTGTAACGGTGATATAATAATACGGTTTTTTTTTTAAATCGGATGAAAATTATGACCTCTATAGGGTCCACAAGCTAAAATCGGCGACGACAATGACAAACGAAACTACACTATTCTGTAAACGACGATAACTCCTCTCAGAATGAAGTACTGACATTTTCTACATATTCCCCTTTCATTATCTATTTTTTAAACTATTATTGCGAGAACTGTCAGCTCTTTATCTAAATCTTTTATCTAATGCATCTTTTACTTTCCCTGATTGAGCACAATGTTTTTTAATATCAATAAATAATACAAGATACCTTTACACCATCCTCTGTTATGCATCAATAGATATATATAATATTTAATAATTCGCAGACCAGAAAGCGAAAGCAGATGTAATTGATACTCAATAAAATCAAATATATATTATAGATTAAAATAAATGAGAGAAATGGGGTTTAACGTCCTTTTGACACAAACTAGCTCATTTCGGGACTAACGTATGGTTCAATTTATTTCAATAATTTGTTTGTGTGTAGGGGTCTTTAGCAGTGGGGGAAACCATTGGACCCGGAGAAAACCCACGAGGCTGGACAGGCGAACCTACTCCTTGTCACGTACAACACCAGTTGACTCAATGACAGACCTTACTATACAGCGTGCACCTGCTAACCATTCGATACATCCGTCGTCTTCCAATAGCTTTCCATTGCATATAAAATAGAAATGCATAGCGTTCGGTCACGTTTTCCAAGTTGTAAGTGAATAGTTGGAGATTTTAGAAGATGCATTGTCTGAGAACTAAGATTTATATAAGATATGGATTAATTATATTCATTTAAAGATACATAAGTTAAGATTTAGATAAAGAGCTGAAAATTACATTTAAATTACTTTATTCTGGCCCAAGTTATCGCTGTTTGTAGTTTCGACAAGATGTGCGCATTATGGTAACCAACGCACTGGTGTATGCGAGACTTAGCAACGCTTTCCAATTTTTAAATTAATTTTTATAGTTCTTGCATAATGTATGTTTAAAGGAGCTAAATCGCTAATATTTGGGACCTAGAAATTGACCCAAATGGATCTGAACACATATAATAATGTAATCGGATTCTATATAAACTGATTTACATTCAATTGTTTCCGTTTTGACTCTAATTTCAAATCAGTTATGTCCAGCGAAATACGGCATGAGTCTCAACCGAATGCAAATTTCTAGCATGGGTTGTGGAATATGTCTAGCCTCGTTCTTTCTAGTCACTTGTTACAAGTGACGCTGAAACGCACTATGGTACACGATTCGTGTACCAATGGTAAAATGTTTATTTTGTCTTAAAATATTGGATATCAGCAGCCTAACTTTTCCCGGTAAGATCACAACATCAATGTTGATTTGAATTGACAAATAATTCGTGTTTTCAGCGTGTAAGACTTTGGATGATACTGGATTAGAGACTTAGCTACTTTAACTTGATTGTCTTTTACGTCTCATCCATGGTGGCGGCCGTGGTGTTGTCGGTTGCGCTGGTGGTAGTGGTTGTTGTAGTTGTAGTGCAAGAGATGGGTATGGCGAGCAATATTTTCCATTCCTTATGTTTATTACATTAAAACATATTTCTTTGAGTTAAATGAAATAGGGTTTAACGTCCGACTGGGCTAATGAAGACAGGCATACGCCATATTGTGTCCTATAGATGAGAGTAATTCTACCCGAGACCAGCGCTAATCCAACTGTCAAGGATTCTTTTACATCTCATCCGAATGAATATACGTTCTCCAAGGCCCTCTGTCCTGTACCAGTGGCAAGGGGGGACCAGGCCGGTGGAATTCGGTGGATTTTCAATATGATGTACAGGGAAAGGTCATCTACAAGGTGGTACCAAAAAACCCTCTAAAGGAATTTGTGGTGGGTCTGTCAGTATTTTGAGTATACTAATACTCATATAGACTATCGGGAGACTAGATTCACGCATATTACTGTTACAGAAATAATCCATGTGAGCAATTGCAGGACATTTTGGCTGGTTTTTGGGATACGGGACTTGGAAGCATTTTGTGGGACAGTCTCGCGAAATGCAGGATGGGTGGTCACCCTAGTTTGTGCCCAAAAGCCAAAATATTCGATCTTCGGGATTTCGCCCTAGAATCACTCCTCTAGGACAAAAAAGTCAGATAATCCCAACCCTACTGTAATCAGAGTAGGTAAAGCTGGTAAAACAATATTTATATATTTTGTCGTAAAAACAAATCCAAGTTGTACGTTTTAGTTTAAAGCATGGTAATTTTGAGGAGATGCAACAAACATAAAATTCAACAGTGACTGAACGCAAACGTCTCATCAGTAATTTTCTCTTTGTAACACAATCGGTTGCTAAGGTTCGCCCTTTCATCAAATCAGAAAGCTGGACGTAAAGCAATTAAGAAGACGAAAAGTAGAATTGTTAGCAAGACCTCGAGAGAATTAACCATTGTTTAGAATGATAGTTTAATTAAATATACAGCGTAGATATTTAGGGGACAAAATGATCATTAGTTTTGAGTAATGCAGATGTCTGTACATGATACGAATTACAAAATAATAAAAACCGGCGTCTACGTTTTCCACAGAAACACCGATCAGACTGGCTTAACACTGGCTCTCGATTTTCCCCACCAAATGGGTCACAATTTCTATATAAATAATTGTCCAATTTATTTTCCGCAAAATGGATTTTTTTTCAGTCAATATTGGGTTTATTACTTGGATAACGAATCGGTTTTCAGACAGTTTCTGTTTGCTGTTTCAATCAGTTTTTGCTTACTAACTCTTTCCTCACAATCAACAGTTGGCAGGAACTAAGAAAATATGCGGAGTGGAGTTACCAAATACTAACATATATTTCATAATCGTTCAGTAATCCAAACAGAAAAGTCCCCGTTTTAAAAATATATATTAAATTATTAAGTGTCTGATTTACGGGTAGTAAATATGCGCCTTTTTAAGGTCATAATTCATCATGGTTATATTCTATATTTTAAACTCATCTCAAAATATTCCGGGATCGTATTGAACCCATTATTATTCCAAAACCACTGACTACTGTTTAGGGAGACAGTTCCTGGAGTGAAGAGACCATTTGGATTACAATCAGAACAATTATGATTAAACCACCATCCACTGTTAAACATTGAAGCACCAGCAGAAGATGTTTGATCATTATCAGGGGTACTGAATGGTTGGTTTTTCAGAGGTGAGTAGCAATTCCCAAGTGTATTGTTTTCATTTATTGTAACTGATGTCAGTCTCAGTTGATAGTTCAGAGCTTCATCTTCAATGGAAAAGTTCTGAACAGACAACCTAATTTTTGTTCCGTTACCTAAAATGGCGAGGTTAATCAATTTGTATGTTCCGGTAACCAAGGCTTTCTTTAATATTTCCTTCAATTTTTGTAATCCAAGCCAAAAATCTCCGTTGGTCATATCACCGAAGCCGTTTTTATAATCAGTCCAATTTCGGTTGAAGTTTACATTTCCGACTTGGCGTCTTTGTATCACCATAGTACCTTGCAACTGACAAAAAACATTAAAGGGTGTTTCAGAGTAAGTTGGTAATAAAGAATAAACTCCTTCATACGACCATTGTTTGCCCTCAATACAATGTGAAACAATTTGAAATATATATAGACAATGTTCTATTCATAAATAAATATGACTGGAGAACAGGCATGGTCTATATAATGCATCTTGTATAAACAATTGAATTCAAGATAAAAGAGGTGGAAGGATAACAAAAGTAATGAAATTTACACGGTTAGAGGATTGACTTTTACACATATGGGGACTGGTTGAAAAATTCTAAGCCTGAAAAGAATAGATCATTTGGGTTGAAACTAACTTTTGCCACCAACAAGAACTGCAACTGTAGTGTTATTATGTTCTTCGTACCAGAACATCTTGTGAACCTACCAATTGAAATCACCAGAAATGGATAAAACTTACAATAGGGCAGTCATCAAGTACCTGCAACTGAAAGGACTAACCCAAACACAGATATATGCCGACACGGTCTTCACTTTAGGGCATGATGTCCATTCCTTTTCCACAGTAAAGAAGTGGACTGCGGAATTTAAGCGTGGAAGAGCGAGCCTTGGCGATGGTCCGCTTCCAGGAAGGCCATCAACAACAAGAAAACATACCCGGGTGTATGACATGGTGATGGCTGATCGACGATTGACGAATCGACATATTGTAGTGGTGTGGGCATCACTCATGAAAGGGTTGCGCACATTATCACCAATGAGTTAGGAATGCCAAAAATTTCTGTAAGATGTGTGCCAATTAAGCTCTTGACAGCGGATCAGAAACGTGTCAGATTCCTGACGTGACAATTTGTGCCATTTTAAAGCAAATCCTGATAATTCTTTGGCCAAATTTGTAACCTAAGAACCTGTTTTCAAAATGAACTGGCCGGTCGCCATTTTCCGAGTAATGATGATGTCATGTCAGCTGTGTACGACTTTTTTTAGGGTGGCTGAAGAAAATTGATTCCTGACCGGCATCCAGGCCTTGCAACATCGTTGGCAAACTTGTTTATACCTCAAAGAAAAAAAAATGCAAACCAATGACTTTGTACAGGTCTTTCACAGATAGGCTTAGCAATTGTCAGCCAGCTCTTGTATGTACAATGGGCTTCACTATAAAGATGATTAAAAAGTTGCATTTTATTCAATTCTGACAGTGGTCTCCCTTATTTCTTGTTATCAATAACACAATTATCAAGTAGCTCAATGAGTAGGGTACTGGCTGGCTAACCTGGCGGTCCCTAATTCAATCCCCGTGTTGGCCGAGTCAATGTTCCTCAAGACTTCCAGGTGTTGATGCCAGTGGTAAATGGTGGAGGATCTGTCAAAGAACAGCCGCACGTGTGCACGTAAAAGAACCCTTTATAGTTGGAATTCGGAACAAGAGAAGACTGTAGTGCTGTTGTCTGAGAAAATTTCCATCACAGTATACTGCATGGCACAAACTACTCTTCATTAGCCGGGATAAAGTAGGATGTTACACCTCATTTCATTTATATCACAGATAATGAGTAAAACATATAACATGATTTCAGAGCTTAAAACTGTTAGTGTAATATAAATCAAATTAGTTTAATATCAGAAAATTCAACAGCTCCATTTGCCATTCCTACCTTTCATAAGACGTTCACATCTTGGGCCCACAAAACCATCTACACAGATACATCTCTTCGACACAGGATGCCTAGTTGATCCATGTAAACATTCCTGTGACAACATAGATAGTGAAATTCAATGTTCTACAGTCTGTTATAAAGGGCAGTTAATTTTATATTAGTATAGTAACTCGTTTAACTGAATATCAAGACTAATCATGGGCACAGCAACACAAAACTTAGAAAGTCTTTGTAATTGTAATTCTGCCATAGTAAAGGAGGAAAATGCTAAGCTGGTGCAATCTTAAAATTATCAGGTAGTTTATTACAAATAATGACAGCTGAGGAACTCATGGAACAAAAGCCATCGTGTTTCTTACGCAGGTGAAGTGTATTTTTTGACAGGAGCGAAACTTGGTTATTTATGCCATAGTTCAATGGCGTACAGAGAGGCGATACCATAGCCACACTGGTATATGATGTAATGAGGTTTTTGACACTATCAAATTCAGGTGTTATAGTCACAACCGATGTTTTGAATAGGTTACAGTTTCAGGACTGTCTGTGGTATATTTACAAGATATTTATCTAAACGAGAGAGAGAGGTGATATTGTTAGGTGGACTAACTAATAGCCATCACTGAACAATCCAAGTCGTGCGGTGGGTTAAATGTTATACAACGTTTTGTGGCAGGGATGAAGTTAACCGCCCCACAGCTGATGTCTCTTGTACAGTTTATAACACAGTTCATTTTATTGTTCGCTGTGAACGAACCTATATGTTGGGATTCGTCAACCAATCTGTCTTGACATCCTGGTTTCATGGTCATTTTCGAAACCGAGCAAATACATTGTACTACGTCCAATCTACAATTGACAAATTTGTTAGATATAAAATCCCCTAAAAACCTTGCAACCCATTTACAACTTAATGTTCTAATACTCATGAAAATTATAAAAAAAAAACAAATTATATTAAAATTGACTTGGGTGGAAATTAAAATTGACTTGGGTGAAAATTATAAAAAACAAATTATATTATTTTTCATGTCCCTTATCAGCCACCGTAAAATATAGTATAACTAGTTAGATTCTCAAAATGTGATCTTTGAGCCCGTCTTAAACTAAGTTTTTACACCTTGTGTCACTCTTAAGTGATATGTTTGGTTTCCTGACTTATTTAGCCAGCTGTTAGGGTTTGTTTCAGCTATGGACTTTAAGCCAGGCGCAGACGGGCAACTTTTTCGAGCAACTTTCAGACAACAGTGAAATCGCTGGTCGTTGAAAGAACAAATCGCTCGTCTGCGCCAACGGGCAACAATAGTTGCCTGTTGTTGCTCCGAGTTGCTTCTCGTTGCCAAATATCAAACATGTTTGATATTCGACAACAGAAAATCGCTCGTCGCCGAGAAATTGTTCATCTGTTGCTTCAAAATTGCTCGTCTGCGGCGGTAGACGAAAACATTCAACAAGCAACTGGTTAACTGTCCAATCAGCGAGCGCTCTACTGTCATGTGATACTTCAAGATTTCACGTATTGCTTTTGTTGTTGTATGTACGGCGCCATTTTGAATGATCACGGGATATCGGCATTCCGGATACATCCGGGGAAAAATTGCTTCTCGTTGCAGTCAGCGCACACGGGAGACCTCGAGTTGCCAATTGCTCGGAGTTGCCAGTAGTTGCCAATTGCTCGGAGTTGCCAGTAGTTGCCTATTGCAGCAACAAGCGACGAAAAGTTGACCGTCTGCGCCAAGCTTTAGCTCTTAAGTAGCATTAGCACAACATGTTATGTTCTTAAGCCACGCATTTCTGTTTCTTGTTAAGTATGACAAGTTTTCAAGAAAATTGTGGATCGACATTGAATTTTAACTCTAATTAAATGTGGATGGGCTAGGGGGAGCGCTCCCAGGTATGTGCACATTTTACAAGACTTACGACTTGCCCTTCCAAAATGATCTAGGGGTATATTAAACAAATACAGACTAGGGCAAAACAATATTTATAGCATCCGATCGAAAAATGAATAAGTTTTGTCCCCGAAAGATATAGAACAGCTTATCCGAAAGAAATACTCGGATGTTGACACGAGCTATTCCCGGAAAATGAACCTATATGACTTTACCAGACAGCGCCCAATCAACAATGTCTGGAACAGAAAGTCCGAGAAGTATCAAAGTCAACAAGGTTCGATCCCAACAATGCTTCAAACCAAAGGTGTAAATCAATAAGGTTAACCCTCTCACAGTCCCGATGCTTCACACCAAATAAGAAAAAAAGTTCTTTTAAATGTTTAGCCTCTATCGCGTTAAGAAAGTTTTCGGAAAAGGGTGGGTGAATCCCGTGCGAATATCGCGGAACACTGGGTCTGAATATCGATGGGGTTCGTAGGTCTACTCTCGTGGGCCCAATATTTGAAATACATCCATCAAAATCAAGTTTATTTGGTCTTAACACGGTTTTAGAAAAGGAGGGTCAACTCTCGAACGGAATGTCGTGGGATGCTCAATATCGATTGGGTTCGTCATTCTGGTAGGGAAGGCTGCAGAATATCGACAGGGTTCGTCCTCCCATGACCGCAATGCATCATACCAAATTTGAAGAAAATCTGTTATGGCGTGCAAAGGAAGGGGGCAGTATCTATACTTTTGGCCATAATACATTTTTGGTGTCGTGGTGAACAGCAGTATCTGCTCTATCACCTGTAAAAACTTCATTCTTGTATCGCAATTAGGTTGAGAGATATCCAGTGTGGATTTGGGAAGTAAATGTAAATTGCCTTGGTATAACTAAGGAGAAAAGCAGTAAGTGTAGATACTGCCATTATCCTTGGTACATGTATGACAACCTAGGTAAGGTGTTGGCAGTAAATGTAAATTGCTCTAGTATAAATATACTCAGCCAAATTAAAAACTTGACTCTCGGGATTTTTGGGACTAGATTTTTAATATTCGGTTTAAGGCAACAATTTAGTGTTATGGTGTGCACAGACGACCTTGAAATCAACAGAAAGCAAGAATACGTCTCGCCGAAAGTCCTTGACATTGATAACGTTCGTGATGTCACAGTAGCCCCCAAAATGAAATTCACAGACTTGGAGAACAATCGGAATGAAGTGTTTAGTAACGGTTGTGGCCTCCTCTAGCGTCTCGTACTGCCACACAACGTCTTCTCATGGATCTCAGAACATTAGTAAACACAACCCGAGGAAGAGCATGTTGAAGGTCCTGTAACGTCAGTGCTGGATTCATTTGCTGGCGAACACGTCGACCCAGTTCGTCCCAGATGTGTTCAATAGGATTAAGGTCAGGGCTAAGCGACGGCCAATCCAGGACTTGGACACCGGCATTTCTTAAAAAATTCTGGGTAGCAATTGTTGTATGGGGTCGAGCATTGTCTTGTTGAAACGTTAGTCCAGGCCCATGTCTCTGCAGAAACGGAAGAAGAACAGGTTGCAAAATCTGATCCCTGTACTGGACAGCATTTAAGTTCCCTTGGACAACAACAAGAGGAGAACGTCCATGTGCACAAAAAGAACCCCAAACCATGACGCTGCCGCCACCAAATCGGTCAACTTCTCTGGTGCATACTTGAGCGTAACGCTCACCTCGTCTGCGGTACACTCGGACCCTGCCCTCGGCAAATCTCAAAGTGAATCGAGATTCGTCACTAAAGACAACCGAATTCCACTGTCTTTGAGTAAATCTTATGTGTCTTGTGGCCTACACAAGTCGGTTACGGCGATGAAGAGGTGTCAATATTGGTCCATTATAGGGCCTCCGAGCTCGAAGACCAGCAGCCTGCAAGCGATTTCGAACAGTTTGTGCAGTTACCCTTCCACCAAACATCTCTCTACTTGTGGGGGTTGCAGTGACAAATCTGTTTCTAAGATGACGTAATCGTATTGCTTGATCTTCCTGGAGTGACGTCACACGTGGCGTTCCCGCCCTTGGGCGGTCGGCAATAGTTCCAGTTTGAAGCACTCTCATTCTAAGATTAATTATTGTCTGGCGTGAACAATTAAAGGCTCTTGCAACAGTGACCACAGATTGACCAGCATAGAGCCTACCTATAGCACGTAGACGTTCTACATTTGAAAGGCGCGGCATTTTCTAACAAAGATGAAAATAACAATTTTAATTTGTTTTTCCAGTTCAAGTTACGTGTGCGTGTTCAGTTTAAGCAAACTTGCATCGATTGACCTCACGAGTTTGTGTTTTCACGTGTTTTTATAGGTTTTTCATCTTTATATGCTCAAAATGGGCAGTATCTGCATTATCTCAGTCCCACAGAGAAATATATCAAAAGAGAACCAAAATATTTCCGTACATTCATGGGCGTCACACATAGGAGGTTCCGGGGTCGCCCCCCCCCCCAATAAAAAAAAAAAATTCATAGTAGGCTCTAACTCCTAATTATTTACAACAATTATTAGGATTAGTTAAGATTCTATCTGTATAAAACAATGTACAAATTAAAACCACAAACACTTATGTTTACTTTTTGAAATCCATTTATAATACACAAAATGTACAAAATACTTTAAATATCTAAACAACTTTCTTGTAAATGTCAATGTGTATATGTATATAGTATTGTAGTTAACAAGGTGATTGTCAAATATGCATCCTCATAAACTATGTGATCAAGTTTTGTTTCATTTGGATCCTCCTCATAAAAAATCCGGTGGGGGGGGGGGGGGTGGATGGCTGAAAGGTTAGCGTGCGCGCGTGGTATCATAAAGTCTGTCATTGAGTCGACTGGCGTGGTTTCGAATCCCCGGTTGTACGTGACAAGGAGTAGGGTCCCCTGTCCAACCTCGTGGGTTTTCTCCGGGTCCTCCCACTGCTATATTAAAACATATGTTAGTCCCGAAATGACCTAGTTTGTGTCGAGTGGACGTTAACCCCACTTCTCTCTCTCATAAAAATTCCCCTACTAAACTCTCTTTGTCGAGTTGTTCATAACTCAAGCGTAACATTCAATATGTAAAGGTCATGAAAAAATATGAATACGGCACCCCCTGACTTAAACATGATAAACATTGTATTGGTGTGATGTTTTAGTTTAACCCCGTAAAATATGCCCCCTGCGTCACAGATCTGATCATAAATGATCAGCCCAGATGTTATGTTATAATTGTATAATCGACTTTTGTTTAATCTATGTATGCTGTCCTTGCTGGATGAAATGATACAATAAAATCTTATCTTTGCGGACCCCCCCCCCCCCCATATTTCACGGCTGTAAAGTTGAATAAAGTAGCCCCTATCACGTTAACGTTTTCGGAAAAGGGGGGATACAGAGAGTGGAAAATCCATAGGGTTCGTCTTCGCATAACCGATATGCTTCACATCAAATGATTAAAAATTGTTGCCTCTGTCGCGTGAATAAGGTTATTTAACCAGCGGCTGCCAGGCAGGATACGCCCGCATTTTGCAAGAGATGGATAGAGAACAAGCTAAAACAAAAAGCGATTTTTCGTGCTATCAAGGGTCATAATTCAGGAAGTTACGATCCGATCTGCGCAAATATCGACAAGAACCAAGATCTTTGGGTTATAGAGATATACTTCAAGTTTCATGAAAATCGGATCAAAATTGTGACTTCTAGAGGGTCCACAAACTTGATATATACCATATATATTTACACTATTTGCGTACGAGAGGCGGTCATTTTGTCCGGCAGTTTTGGTCTGATTTTCGCGAAATTCGCACTCAGCCGTCACAAGGGTGTAACGGTGAAATACCCAGACGTTTTTTTTTTTCAATCGGATAAAAATTTTGACCTCTAGAGGGGCCCCAAGCTAAAAACGCAATTTTTCCATAATCCATGGTTACGAGTGCCGGCCATAACATCCGAGCACATGTGAGTAAAAAATAGGTTACGTGCCCTTGTTTTGAAAGTAGTCTCGCTTAACTAGTCTACCGACCATTCTACGTTTGATTTACGGGCCGGGATAATCAAGACTACGTTTTTTTACGAAACGTAACAAAGCTGTAACAAGAAATTGAATTTAGAAACACGCACGTTGGACAACTCAACAATTGTTTTAAGAACCTTGTAAAAGTATAATGAAACTACTGCTAGTATCATGTTCTTGCCCAACGCAAGTATTTGTACTAAACCAAAAAATGCCGCTCCTAACGGTACAGTTAATGATAAAGCAATTTAAATAAAACGAACGTAATTTCTAAAGCTGCTGTAATAACCCATAAGCTGAATATTATTGCTATTCACAATCATCAACAATAGATTTTTTATAGCTGTAATAGTTGATAGATGTGTAGAGAATTGCACGTGCATGGCTGTTTATAGTATCATAGACTCTACCGCTTGAGTATTATCATACTGCGTAATAAGCGAGAAATCACTTCAAGACAAGCCACTGAAGCGTCTAAATTCGCTGTGTCGAAACCAACTTTCTGTACGGAAAGTTTTGGGTGCACAGTCACCCTAATTATGGTAAAGTTCCCAGCACCCAGATTGGACATGGGAGTTTGTGGGTTGAATAATCAAATGGTCCGTCCTATCTGTATCAGAAAGCATCCTCATTGACCTTGGTGGCAAAAGTCTTTTCTTTTAGAGAGGGAAATGATGTTTAACGTCCACTTGACAGAAACAAGGTCATTTCGGACTAACACATGGTTCAATTTTATTTCCCTAATTCGAGGGGAAACCGTAGAGCCCAGAGAAAACCCACGGCCTACTCTTATATCGAATTCCAACTGCCAAGGGGCAGGGAATCAAACCCACGCCACTTGAATCAATGACAGAACTTCTGATCCAGCTGAAACTGTGTTTGGTCAAATTAATACTATAGGGATCACCATAGGACCTTAAAAAAAGAACAAAACCCCAAAAAAACTAAAATTTCAAATTTAGTATTTTATTATGTTTTTATATGAATGAATATGAAAAACTGATCACACTTTTACTGCTAAAATTATCTTTCTATATATATATTATACATTAACAAACATTACATATTTCATCTACATTCAACTAAACTCTCATTAACTTTACTCTCTACAAATAACTTTCACTCAACTACTAGTAGTATACATACAGTTTAAAATTTGGTTAGTCAACTGTTCAAAAGGAACTATACTAAGATGCAATCGAAAAGATCTAAGATCTATATGGGAATTTAAACTGAAACATAATTTACGTTGTAAAATACATTGGTTGTTTTTGTCACATTTGGCATCCTCTGCATATGATATAAATAAGGCAGCGTTAACTATACGTTTTAGGTAAAATATTTCAATGTGCCTGTCCTTAATTCGGTTGATCTAAGTCAGGAGATTATCTGTAGCTACATATTGTCTTTAGCCTAAAAATGATGATCAGTGACATACCAAGTCTGTATCAGTATCCAAATTACAAGGAATTTAAAATATTAATAAGCTTTTTCTCGGTATAGTTCCTTGGTCTACATCAATACAACTAAGAATAATATCGCAAATTTTAATTAATACTAATATTTTGATTTATGTATTATTAAAATCATGCTTGATTGATTGTTAATTATAGATTCACTTTTATTTTTAATAATTGATTACAATAAATATTGCTGTTGACATTAATTGGAGGTGACCAGTACCTCATTTATTTGATCTGTCCATTTCTAGCGACAAAAACTACAAAACACTTAACTGTTACAATTTTAACAAAATACAAGTATAACAAATGTTATCAAATCTTACAAAGTAACAATACATTCAACAAATTATCAAGTCAAGGTGTTGTTCATGTTGTTTAAACATTTAGTCAATTTATCCCAACTGATCCTCTTCTAATTTTTGTGAACTAAACAAAAAAGTATCACCCAAGAAATAACTTGGAAATTTGACATATTTATAAATGTACTGTGGATGAATGCCGTCACAGAATGCCGTCTACCAATTTGAACAGATTTGTATCAACTCAAAATAAACAGTAGACAAGAATAAATGTTTCCATGACCACAAGACTTTCATTTACTCACATGACCACAAGACTTTCATTTACTCAATATAAGAACTACTCACAGTGTCAATTCACCTTTTTTCAAAAACATCAGTCTTAACACATTTTAAATTGATATGATGAACATGTTGAAACAAAAATGCAAATACCATATCCCAATAGCAATAACACCCAATCTTGAATACAAGTTAATGAATACTGGTTTCTGTGAAATCTTATGATAAAATGACCGTGGAACTCATTTACCAATCTATAATTGCATAAAAAATACATTCATACTCATCCCTGAATATATCTATATATATAGGAAAGTTAGTTCTTGGGTGAACTGTAAATGGCACACAAATAGTCATCCCAGCTATAGAATGCCCCACAACTTGATTGACAGCTATCAATGAACAATCTCATACAACTTGAACAGTTTGTATAAAGTTTTGTAAATATCTTTCACATTTCACTTTTGTAGAGATGAATAAATCAATTACACTGTTCCACACACACTTTGGGTTATTTCCCATAGTTTATTTCATTTTAGAAACCCATGCCACCTCCCATTCCACCCATACCACCCATTCCTCCCATGCCACCAGCTCCCATATCTGGTCCAGATTCAGGTTTAGGTAGCTCAACTACCACCGTTTCAGCTGTTGTAAGAAGGGAAGCTACTCCAGATGCATCAACTAAAGCTGTTCTCACAACCTGAAATTGATATAACATATATATATACATATATATAATACTTTTTCTATTCATTATTAATTTATGTTATTTTTTTAATACTCTCTGTTTTGGAAGGTGTCTTTCTGGGCATCTGTCAAGATCTAGCCACTGATCAAAAGCTGCAATAACCAGTAAAATATGAGAATGTCAAATACTTCATTTAACAGTTATTCTAGATTCAATTCATTATGTTGTATTAAAATATAGACGTGATGTCATCCTTTGATGTTGGCCTATTATTATTTCAAATAAATACATTGTTTATACTAGATGAAATATAGATTTGTGTCACAATTTCAATGAAATGCACATATGGGCTTGTGTGGGAGAGAGAGAGAGGGAGAGAGAGAGAGAGAGAGAGAATATGGGGTTTAACATCCACTCCACACAAACTAGGTCATTTCAGAACTAACATATGGTTCAATTTTATTTCAATAATTCGACTGCGTGTAGGGGTCTTTAGAAGTGGGAGGAACCCAGAGGAAATCCAAGAGGTTGGGCAGGTGACCCTACTCCTTGTCAGTACAACCAGGGAATCGAAACTATGCCAGTTGACTCAATGACAGACCTTATGATACAACGTGCACATGCTAACCATTCGGCCATCCAACCCCCCGCATATATGGGATAATGTCTGTATATCAAGCTGTTGGACTGAAACAAGAATTTGCGTAACATATACTATTCAAAAAAAGTAGGGGATATTTGATTTTGGGGGCATAATACTAAAATATGCAAATGACTACGAAAAAAGTCACTATAGAACCTAACAGAAGAAACATTTCCAGTGACGCCCAAACGCACCAATAGCTACCGCATGGAATGCAGGTGATGCTTGGGATCATCATGGGGGTCGAACCCAAGATTTGCACGACTCTGACTTTGAATGTTACAGTCATTGTGGCATTGAATTCCAGGGTGGAAACATCAGTTTAATTGTTTTAGTGACCAGAAAACAAATTTTGATATGCGTCGGCTTACCCAAAATGAAAGGTTACGTGCCCTTGGCATGCTACAGATCGGCACAACACAGGCGGTTGTGGCGCGGACGATGAATGTTTCTCAGACTGTCATAAGCATGCTATGGTCCAGATACCGTGATACACAATCTGTACAGGACAGACCACGCTCAGGTCGACCAAGGGCGACAACTCAAGCCCAGGATCGATTTATCCGTACCATGGCCTTGAGAAATAGTGTCATCACAGCAAATCAGATCAGCGCTCGTCTTCAAACAGACACTGGTGTGAGAGTGAGTGGCCAGACGATTCGGAATCGACTGCATAGGGGTCACCTTCGCGCCCGACGTCCTCGCGTGATCCCTTGTTTGAGAGATCATCACATTCAGGCAAGACGTCGTTGGTGTAGGGATCGTCAACACTGGGATAATCGACGCTGGAGCAATGTGATGTTTTCAGATGAGTCAAGGTTCACTGTTGATTTTTTGGACAGACGTAGGAGGGTGTGGCGTCGTCGAAACGAGCGCTTCCAAGACGTTAACGTCATCAGACATGATCGATTTGGGGGTGGTTCTGTTATGGTGTGGGGAGGCATCACTGTTGCTGGAAGAACGGCTTTACATGTTGTTGCAGGGCGTGTTACAGGCCAGTACTACCGGGACAACACTCAGGTCAATGCTCTCTGCAGTATCAATATATTACTGAATAGCTCCCTCTCGACCATTAAATGGCACTTGAATACGACACCAGAAAATACAGGTTATGATTTCAGTGCTCTGTTTTTACCTTAGTAGGATCAATAATTCCTCTCTTGATAAGATTATCATATTCTCCTTTTAATGCATCATATCCAAAATCATCTTTACCATTTAAAACTTTCTCTACCACTACATGAGCATCTACACCAGCATTTTTAGCTATTGTTAAACATGGTACTCGCAATGCTTTTAATACTATTTCTATACCTGTAAAATATATCAAATCAAATTTAAATACAAGATTTCACATTAAGACGCATTTTTAAAATGTTTCCATTTAAAAACTTTTTCATATGTCTGAATTTAAAGTTATGCCAACTATTATTTTTATCTTCCCTGATTTTGAGTTTATAGCTGTTTTTCTGCATATTCTTCCTTCAATTATAACGCCAAGAGTTTGTCTTTTTTTAAAAAAAGATCAACAGGATCTTGACTTATTTTTATCCAATCTGAATGACTAGGCAGTCGTAACCTAATTCAACGACAGTGGTAATAATAGTAATATCATGTATCAAGCTGAATGACAGGAATGATATATAAATCATAACTGGACGATGGTCCTGATTTTATCTAGCTCAAGTAACTCTACATCTTACTTATATATACAAGTAATATTCTAATATGGTACTGAGCAAAAATAATCTGGCTCAATCAAATCGTATATGAGTAAAAGGTAGCACACAAATGTGATTAAAATAACTGAACCTAGCAGTTTTAAGGAATTTTTACCTGTCAATCACTTTTAATGGCTTATAATAAACCCTTGTTAGATTATGATAGAAGATGTCCAATAGAATACATGTACTTTAAATAGCATTCCATTTAGTTAAGATTTATTTTTTCCTGCTTCGCAACTAATCTATTGAATGCAATATACTGAACATAAGTGGAGAACATACAATAGAGTTAGTTACCTGTTTTAATATCATCATTTTCTGGTTTAATTTCCTGAAGTGTTTGAACACATCGTAATAGAGCAGTACCACCACCTGGTACAATACCTTCCTCTACAGCAGCTCGTGTAGCGTTTAACGCATCATTTATACGATCTTTCTTTTCGTTAACTTCTACTTCACTAGTTCCACCAACCTATACAAATAGAAACAGTATACTATATAAACATACTTACCAACAACATTCCCTCTCAATATACTATGTATATTACACTGAAAATCCAAGTGAGTCCTAAGGGAAAAAGCCTACTTACTTCATCGACAACTGCCAATCCCTGATCGCTTCATCAAATTTTAACAAATGGCCAAACCTGCACCAAGTGACGAGTGAGCATCAGACTTGATGAAGTCCAGATATTAACACCCCTTTGTACCATTTGAATGACAAGGGTGGCAAATCAAGTACCGAGAAAATGTCGTGTTAATTATTTTGGACTTTGAGGAATTGTCAAGTCAAATAAAACTATATCTAATACCTTTAATACAGCTACACCATTAGATAGTTTAGCTAATCTTTCATTAAATTTTTCTTTTTCATAATCAGATGTGGAGAGTTCAATATCATCCCGTATCTGGTTAATTCGTTTCTCTATTTCAGCTTTATCACCTTTACCCTGTTTTAATATAAAGTATATATAGTCAATGAATATCTAATATTTTACCCTGCTTTATTAGAAAATTTATATAATTGATAGTCAATGAATGTCTAGCATCTTGAAGCTTTGACATCCTCATTTTCTGTGTCTGAAGATCCATTTTCCAAAAATAGGTAAATAATTTGGGGTAAATGAACCCATTTCAAAGTAAATTAATGTGAACACTGAGTCACTAAAGCAATCAGTCTAATTCCTTTCAGTATTAACAAAGATATGATGAAATGATAATTTTGCATTATTCAGCATCCTTTAGAAAAGATATGAACAAGCCAGCACCACATAGCATGGGATAATTAGAGATTATCCAAAAAATACATGGTTAACTTTATGTAACATTTATCTTCAAAAATACAAATACTTTCTAGATTATATACACTAATCATTTACACTAATTTTAGACATTCTGCTCAGTATGAATTTTATGCTCAACATCAATTTCTGACAAGACATTGAAGTAATGAACATCTACACCAAGTCTAAACTTTCAATCAGAAACAAAGTTATTGTGTTCAAAAAGGTGCAACGCACCTACAGATGCTAAGCAGATGTTCACCATCGAAGTTTGAATATTCTACCTTAATTAGACAAAGAGTTATGTGATAAAGATGGATGGACAGATAATCAAACACACACCTTCATTATCAGCGTATCATCTTTAGTTATAATAATTTCCCCTGCATTACCAAAATCTTGCATCTGTACATCTTCTATTTTATACATACTAGCTTCATCACCAAATACCTAGTTAATCAAAATTAAATATTACGTAACAAACAAGCGCTGAAATAAGCGTCCGGACACGGACAATGTCCGGGCGAATTGACCCCTTTTGACAGGCCAAATTGCCTTTCGTCCGGACATAATTGTCCGACCGTGTTTTTGTAATAAAACATTATGTCAAAAATATTTGAGTCGATCGCTATTTATTATTAGACTCGAAAGTCCAGAACCAAAAATATCAATGACCCGAGTCATAGTGAAAATGTTACTATTTATATCTCGGCCGCGTGCAGATAAAATCTTCAATAATTTTTAGAATCGACTCTTTTACGCTGGTTATATCAACGACCCGAGTCATAGTAAAAATATTACTATTTATACATGTATCTCTCTCGGCCACGTGAAGAAAAAATAATGAATAATATTGAGAATCGGCTCTTTTACACTGGTTATTCGAGTCTCGTAGCTAGCTTTGCGTTACTTTCGTATATGATTAGCTCTAAATCACACCTAACATGACATGTAATTATATAAATTATTAGTTATAAAAGTAATAATATTTTAAAATTAGTTTACAAGAAAATGTCCAAGTTGACTATGGATGTAATTAGGGACAGATTTTTTATACGAAAATATCTCACTTTGTTGGACACTTCCAATGTGAATGTAAATAGAAGAGCCGTGAAAACATGTCGAATAAAATAACTTCTTACTTTTCCCAACCCTCGGACACGGATATCCCGGCTAGTGGGACCGTTCCAGAAAATTCAAAGACTGGTACTGTGTCTTAATCTTATGTCTCTCATAAAGACACTTCTAAACGGGGGGCGTCGCCGTCACCAGTTGGAAAATTACAAAAACGAGCCGTAGAACTAGAAAAGTGGATCAAAAATGACTTGGCAGATTCTGAACCATTTACGACAACTCAAGATGTCTATTCTTTAGTTAAATTTGAATCTTAATCAGAGTTTTTAGGATTTAGTCTCCAGCCCAACCAAAGAGATTAATGACATTATTATATGAACTATAAAGTTGTATTCCATATACATATAAAAACTTAAAACTCCAGGTTGTATGTGAGTCATCAATTTATTTTATTAATAAATGTATGTATAATAATATATATAAACATAGTAAATTTCAACAGTTTTTTGGTTTAATATACTTTATAAAGTATTTGTCAGGCTGAAAATCTGAAATGTCCGGCCGAAAATCAGTTCAGCCTGACATGATGTCAGGCTGAACCTTAGCAGTTATTTCAAGGCTTGGTAACAAACTCTCCAAATAAATATTCATCTCAAAACAAAAACTAGAGCTATATTGGAAACATGATCTAAGCCAAAAGTTTAAATTCCTTCTTTTCAAATATTACTGTATTTGAATGCCATGAAATGGTTAAGGAGAAGTCTGGAATCTTAATTGCAAAGTAACAATTTTCTCAGCTCTATGAAATCAATTTAATAAGACTTTCAATGGTCTGAATATAATGGTCAAGAAATTAATCAAATGTATCAAGGGGTGATGATAATATAACAATAATATTATACTAAATTGCACCTTGATCATTCTCTAGCATCATATCAATATATTCATGTCAATACATACATAAACTTTTATATATGATGCATATTTTATTATGCTCTGTTACAAATAACATTCTCTAAAAATAGTGTTTATTTAACCAAAATATAAAGTTTGTACCTGTCCACCAGTAGCAATTGCCATATCCATTACAGTATTCTTTCTATTATCACCAAATCCTGGAGCTTTTACAGCACAAACTTGTAAGCTTACTTTTAATCTATCAACAGACAAATATAATAATAAATATTCCATTACAAAATTTCAATCAATTTAACTACTTTAGCCTTTATTGATTATGTGATTTTAACAAGCTGTTGCCATGTAAGATCCACCCACATTTTGCAAGAGATGGACAGAGAACAAGCCAAAAAATAATGTGATTTTTTTGTACTATCAGGGGCCATAATCCAGGAAGTTACAACGGTGATAAATTTAACCATTTTTTAAAATTGGATAAAATTTGTGACCTCTAGAGGGTTCACAAGCTAAAAATGTGATTTTTCGTACAAACATGGGCCATATTTCAGGAAGTTACCGTCCGATCTGCGCAAATATCATAAGGTTCCACAATCTTTGGATTATTAACATATTTCAAGTTTCACCAACCTTGGTATTACATGTTTACACTATTTGAGTACAAGGAGCAGCCATTTTGTCTGTCAGTTTCAGTTAGATTTTAACGAAATTCTATCTCAACCTTCATTGATGTGTAACAGTAACATATTTAAACGGTTTTTACAATTAAATACAAAATGCGACTTCTAGCGGCTCCACAAGCTAAAAATGGGATTTTTCAAACAATCAGGGGCCATAATCCAGGAAGATACATTCAGATATGCGCAATTATCGACAGGAACCAAGATCTTTGTGATATAAACATCAATTTAAAGTTTCATCAATTGGATAAAAATTGTGGTCTCTAGAGGGTCCACAACCTTGATATACCATATTTTTACTCTTGATATACCATATGTTTACACTATCTGCGTACAAGAGATGGCCATTTTGTCAGGCAGTTTTGGTCCGACTTTCACGAAATTCGAACTTAACCAACATTACGGTGTAACGGTGATATATTCTAACGTTTTTCTAAATCGGATAATAATTGTGATCTCAAGAGAGACCACAAGCTAAAAACGTGATTTTTCGTACAATCAGGTGCCATAATTCAGGAAGTTAGGGTCCGATATGCGCAAATATTGAAAGGAACCAAGATCTTTGTGTTATAAACTTACATTGCAAGTTTCAACAAAATTGGATATAAATTGTGACCTAAATGGTGATATAATAATACGTTTTTTTAAATCGGATAAAAATTATGACCTCTATAGGGTCCACAAGCTAAAAACGGGATTTTTCGTACAATCAAGGGCCATAATTCAGGAAGTTACGGTTCGATATGCGGGAATATCGAAAGGAACCGAGATTTTTGGGTTATAAACATGCATATCAAGTTTCATCAAAATCGGTTCATGATTGTGACCTCTATAGGGTCCACGAGCTAAAAACATGATTCTTCGTATAATCAGGAGCTATAATCCATGAAGTTTGGATCCGATACATGCCAATATCGAAAGCAGCCGAGATCTTTTGGGGATAAACCTATATTTCAAGTTTTGTCAAAATCGGATGACAATTGTGACCTGTAGAGAGTCCACAAACAATTGTGGACGGACGTCCGTTCAGACATACGGACGTTCAGACATACGGACGTCCGGTCGGACAGGGGTGACGACAATACACGTCCACATGAAAATGTGGGCGTATAAAAAATTGTAAAATAAAAAGATAATTTTCTATAATATGAAATATTACATCATGTATCAGGCTGAATGACAGGAATGATATATAAATCATAACTGGACGATGGTCCTGACTTTATCTAGCTCCAATACTTAATCTTACTTACAGCATAAATAAGAATTGTTTATTTTACGGAGCACAAAGATGATGGCTGATTTAATACATGTAACTCTCAAAATAAAGATATCCCCAAATTTTGTGATGAAAATCCTATAACCTGGGTTAAATTTGGCTATGTGTTTAATCAGTGTTAGTAAAGATCAATTTGACGAACTTCAAAACGTATATAATAGAATGTAATGAGGTTTAATGTTGCATCCACACATCACTTAATTCTATGGTTGCAATAGGAGGGAAGACTACTGACAGATAATGTCTCTGCCTACTCAGTCACAAATTACAATTGCCACGATATCTTTTACATACACAATCAATTTGAACATTGGTTGTCCATTTTTTTTCAATCCTGACAACAAGTCAATTCGTACCAATAAAGCCAACAATCATATATCTATAACAAATTTCAATGTTGTTACCTGTTTAAAACTAATGTACTTAGAGCTTCACCATCAACATCTTCAGCTATTATAACTAGTGGTTTTCTAGCCTGATTAGCCAACTCTAATGCTGGTATTATAGACTGCACACTAGAAATCTTCTTCTCACTAAATAAAACCAAAGCATCTTGAAATTCACACTTGGCTCCTGTAATATACAAGCAATGCTTATCATGGAAATTCATTTACAGAACATCAGAAACTCATCTCATGCTGTGGATTTCAATGTAAAAAACAAAATTTAAAAAAGAAAATTGGTTACAGAATAAACTAAGTGGCTTTTACTTTTGCAGAAAACAGCATGAGCAGCAGTATTCTTTTCTAAATGTCACAAGCAAATATTTGAAAATTCAAATGTAACCCAAGTAGGGTCTACTTTTAAGATACGAGACGTTACGTATTTATTTTAGCCAATTTCAAAGAAATAAATACCAGTGGTTGCCATGCTAGATACGCCCACATTTTTACGAAATTCGAACTTAACCTTCACTGAGCTGTAATGGTGATATGTTTAAACGTATTTTAAAATTGAATACAAATCTCGACTTCTAGAGGGTCCACAAGCTAAAAACATAATTTTTTGAACACTCAGCGGCCATAATCCCGAAAGTTACGCTTCGATATGCATGATTATCGAAATTGAATCAAAATTGTGACCTCTAGAGTGTCCACAAACTAAAAGACATGATTTATTCGAACAAGGGGCCATAATCCAGGAAGTTACATTCCAATATGTGATTATCGAAATTGAATCAAAATTGTGACCTCTAGAGTGTTCACAATCTAAAAATTCTTATTTCATTTGAGGCAGTGGGTCTTTAATTTGGGTTTTTGTACCATTTCTTAACAACTAGAAGATTTTCCTTGCCATGACATCCGTCCTGCATCACAGACAACAAAGCCAGTGCACTACTCAAAAGTCAAGGGAATAAACTTGTCGAAACTTATAGACAAGGGCTTTTTAAAATTCTGTATCAGGCTGAATGACAGGAATGATATATAAATCATAACTGGACGATGGTCCTGATTTTATCTAGCTCCAATAACTTTACATCTTACTTATATATACAAGTAATATTCTAATATGGTACAGAGCTTTTATTGATCCTAACAATCACATAATATCTGCAAATAAAGCACAATCAACACATCGGACACCCAATGTCAGGCATTTACAAATAATTAAGTATATTTATAACAAACCTTTTGCCGTGTTCATAAAATATGGAGAAATGTAACCTCTATCAAATTTCATTCCTTCTATAGTTTCTAACTCATCTTTTAATGTTTTACCATCCTAAAATAGAGTTTAATGAAGACATGATAATATGATGAATAATGCCAGATTTTTTGTACAGTTTTGCTATCACCAGTTTTGGATTGTCTGTGGTGTTCAATGCAAATTTGCGGAAAGGTGCCGCTGCAGTCTGTGATTTGATGACAAGATTAGTTCAATAAGCTAAAAATCAAAACAAGGTAGCCTATAAAATTGATTTGTATGAAGCGATGACAACACAACCAAAGACAATTCAGAAATAGCCACAATATTTGAAAATTAAGTCATGCGACAGTAGTCAAGACACTAGGCAACTGAATCCACTCATAGCAATAACTCGCCAGTAGCACACCTATCCATCCAATTCTAACCTTTAATACGTTTTTTATTAAATCAAATATTGATATAAATGTCATCAACACCCTACTTTACTGCAACCATACTTTACCTTAAAGTAACCACTCCAAATCCATTAGATTTAAAAACAAAAATTTCCAGCAAATATACATCGATAATGTACCAACCTTTACAGTGATAACTCCATCACGCCCAACTTTCTTCATTGCACTAGATATTAAATTACCAACTTCAGTATCACCATTAGCAGATATTGTAGCAACCTAGAATGAAACCAAAGAAGATTAGCCAATGGAATCATTGCAAACTGATAGAGAAAGAAATGGGGTTTAACGTCCATGACACAAACTATGTCATTTCGGGACTAACATATGGTTAAATTTTATTTCAATAATTCGCTTGCACATAGGGGAAACCTGAGGACCTGATAACCGGGGGATCAAAACCATGCCAGTTAACTCAATGACAGACCTTATGATATGTGCACGTGTTAATCATTCGGCCATCAACCCACCTGCAAAGTGATATATTGATTAGTTCTAAAGAAGGTTTAATGAGAGAATATATTATATTCCAAATAAATATCTCAGTCAATACACATTAAAAAGTAGTCTTGTAAAAGATCATGTTAGTCTAAATATGATTAAAATCCATCAATTTAAAAATAAGTTATGATGATCACTTTCTAATGACCCGACTACTATCATCATTTTTCGCCTTCGGATGAATAACTTCAGTTGTATCCGTTAATATCCAGGTTTAACCGATGCCGATTTTTGCTAAATTTAAGTCATGAAATTATCTATTAGCAGCCATCACTTAAAAGTCATTCAAGTCAAAAATACCTGAGCAATTTCTTCCGGTGTTGTCACATTTTTTGACATTTTCTTCAATTCAGCTACACACTGGTCTACAGCCATCATAACACCTTAATAAAGAAGAAATGAAATGGGGTTTAAACATCCAAATTTTTTGCACCAACAGATCTAAAGATGAAGATGGCCATGTGCCATGCAGTGTGCTATGAGGGGAAAATTTTCATGTACACGCTAATGTGTACACAAGGACTACATATTTTTCTGTCTTATCTGAACGAGTCAACGCTCTTACGGTACACTGGCCAGACCCTCCATTTCTGCACCACTTACATCGGAGAAACAAAGCTGGAAAATCCTAGGGTACTTTCTTGGTTAGCGAGTCAGGATCATACTGACTGAGCCACTGTTGCTTCCTAAAAAAGAGGAGCCCTATATAGATTTTTTTAATCTTTGTTTTTCTGAGGCCAAAAAAAAAGGGTCCTGTTTCCTGTAACGGATTTAAAATAGGGTAGGGTTATTTTTTTTTAATAATGTTACATTACATTGTTAGATCTAGTAGATGTACCGTAGCATAATATTAAATTCTGTGCGAAAATCTTCAATTTTATGTTAGGTTGAGTCTGCGCCGAGGAGCATGAATAGATTGGTGGATGGAATTCTTGGATAATTGTTTAAAATGTATCAGAGGCTAGATTATGATTTAAATATTCTCTTAGGGGGCAAATGGACTTTTTAATCTTTCTATGCTGAAAAAAATAGCGTAGGGAGGCCATTTTGTTCAAGGGAAAGAACTCGCGATGAAAACTTAAAAAATCATATCGTGCCGTCGCACGAAATAGGTCCGTAATAAATTTATTTGTCTTGTTTTAAATACCTATCGAGCAGATCCTATCCACCTGTTTGAAATATACGTTAGCTTGTTTTTGTCAAATTGTGTGCCGTTACCTATTAGAATGAAGGTTGTGAGGATTATGGCTTTTCAGGATGTGCAGTGTTAAATCTATACGAAACCCGTAGTCTCGATTTTCACGTCAGTTAGCAATCTCGCGTCAACAGTATGACAGTTCTTAATAATCGTTCCCTGTACAGTACTCGCTTATCCCAATCGGTAAATGCAGATTCAAAGAACGATGACATTTATATCCATTTATAGCAACAAATAATAAAGTCATTTTCACAAATCCGGTAGGCTTAGAGTATTTTGAACGGTCGCTCGTTGAACAAAAAAGTTTTTTATTTCCCTTGACAATAAAAAAAAAAATTGAGTCGGCAGGTTTTGTAATGCGTCGGTCCGGTTACCGGAAACATAACATTTTTTTTTGGCCTGATGCTTTAGAACCAGTTTTTCAAATTCTTATCTGAAATAGATCAACATGCAATAAAAAGATCATTCATACCTCTGCGGATTTCGATGGGGTTAGCTCCCTTGCTAATCTTTTCAAAACCTTCTTTAGCTATAGCTCTTGCAAGAACTGTAGCAGAAGTGGTACCATCCCCAGCTTCTTCATTTGTATTATTTGCAACATCTTGAACCAGTTTAGCACCAATATTCTGGAATTTATCTTTTAATTCTATGCTTTTAGCAACAGTAACCCCATCTTTCGTAATTTTGGGACTTCCCCAACTCTGTTCAAGGATAACATTTCTACCCTGAAAAGGTAAGATAGAAAACAAATAATTATTGACTTGAAGAAATGGAAACTGTATATTTATTTGTTGAAGCATGTAAAATGTTTCATTGAAAGACACAAATATAATGGAAATGAAATAGGATTATAACTACCTACTTTTTTTGTATCGACTGTGAGAGCAGTGAAATAAATATGCAAGTTAGTGAATGAACTACTGTAACCATCCTTTTCATTTTGAGAACAATCAACTTTGTTTAGGCCAAACAAATTCAATTATTAGTTCTTTAGGGGTAGTGATAATTAAACAGCCACCTGATCCTCGTGAATGCTTAGGGTGAAAATATGTAACTAAAAGACTTTAAGAGAAAATGATACCGGGTTTATCTAATTTTATGTGAAAACAGATGTAAGTTTTAAGAGGTGTTGCTAAGGAACAAAATTGGTCTGGCCTCAGTGGCCAAACATAGGTAAATGGAAACCTACTAAATTAGATATAATACCAGTAAAAGAAATTGAATTGTCTATTTGATTATCAACTTACTTTAGGTCCCATTGTCACGGCAACAGCATCAGTTAATATGTCAACACCCTGTAACATCAGTCCTCGAACCTCTGCACCAAATTTTATATCTTTCGCATAACATCTTGCTAAATTAGGTGTAAACTGGCGGACAACTGATGACCGTAAAACATTTGGTAGTCGATACATTGTTAAATTACTGAAATAGAATTTAAGAAAATTTTAATCAATCATAAGAAAACAGCAAGCCTATAGACGGCAGTTATTATGTAGTGCCTGGGTAGTGGGTAACCAGATCTAGAAACTAGCCATTTGATGATATGTTTGAATTAAAACACATTCAAACTAATTTATCAAGTACTCCAACTGCATGCCGTTTTTCCTTCTTTAACAAATGTTATATAAATGTTTCAAGCAACTAGTTTCATTATGTATAGCAATCGTTGTGAAAACTAAATCGGAGAGATTTCGATTTGACAGTTTTTACATATTTTTGAAACAGGTTTCGAAGTGTTTTGGTAATGTAACCATGTTATGCAAGGTCTTTTTCAAATTCTAAATGTTGCTATTATTAATTAATCATACATTATGCAAGAGCTAAATCTGTCTATTGCAGGTCTTTCTTTAGGCCTGAAATGTTCTCTAAATTATTAATTAGACATTGATTAACCTATCCAGACCATAATATGGCATCGCTAGCCTGCGATCTTTAGTGGATTGTGAGCCGATTTACTGCATAACTTTCCGTCACGATTTAACAATGAAATGGATAATCGAGACTATGCTATTTATCGTACTGACTTTATTAATGATGATCGACGCTAGGCGGAAATTTCAATCGCTTAGTTCTCGGTTCATAGTGGATCAATTTGAATGAAATTTTTAGCAAATTGCCTTTACATTATCTAGTTTTTAACTATTATAGTGATAACTGCCAACTCGTTATCGAATTTCCCATAATCTATCTTTAATTATTAATTAGCTTTTATATTTTACTTTGACATTTATTGCAAAAAAGGAAAAATTGACCTTTTGACCCCACCCCGCACTGAGCCTCTGCCCTATATAACTAATAGGCCTTCAACTAAAATTGCTATAACTTCTTTATTTCAACAACGATTTTGAATATTTTGGTGTCATTTTGTTTCTTCTTCCAAGACACATCCATTGCAATGATTACAAACCCATTGAAACGCTTTTATTTATTTTTTTTTTGTCTTATACCTACCCGGATTGGATTTTAATAACGTCAACGAGTGACCAATCAAAGCCGGTCCAGTGCAGACTATTTCGTCAGTTATGTCTATCGATAAAAAAATAAAAGCGGCAATAATTCGACATTCACTTGGAGTATGAACAAGATATTATCCTGAAGTATAGTCCTCAAAACACGTGCTGTTAAAAATAAAAGCACGTGTGGTTCTCGGGGTTGGGAATTGCATAACATGAGATAATGACATTGCTTCTTGAGCTCAAAAAGCTACTGAACAGACTGCATCTCAACATACCCACTGAAAATATACCTTGTTGAAGTCAATTTGAGCAGGCTGGTGCTTATTAGAGGATAATTTTCAGGATACTTGTGTAGACTTCTTCTCTAGTTATCACCTTGCTCTTCGAGAAATTTTCTGGTCTTTTCTGTAACCGGCGGGATCAGTTGTTGGATGGTCAATCTTTGCTTTTATGTTTTGTAAAATAAAGGCCACGTTTCTCAAAAAGCATGTATTCACACTTGGAAGACTTTATGATTAAAATATAAATCAATTTAATTTTAATATTATAATCAAAACCATCAAATATTTTCATTTTTGTTAAAGTTTATAACTTGGTAAATAATGTCTCCCTTTGATTTGGGTTATGGCTCATGCGCAGTAAACGTTTGCCAACACGTGCGTTGAAAGGTCATCCGCTGATGCAAGTAGTTCGAGAAAATTCTTCTAGCTAAAATGGTAGGTAAATATTTGGGCATTTTATGCGAATTGCAACATGGTAAGTTGAAAAGAAAAACTAATGCCCACGAGTATATTGATATACTAAAAGAAGTTATTGAACAATGTACAGAAGACAGCCAGTGTCGATCATTGACAGTTGTAAAATTATGAAATTTGTGGAAGACTCTTTCAGTCTTTGCGGATAGGCTATGGCGCTAAGCAGGCTAATGAATGCAAAGTGTTGAATCGTGCTTATGCCAATGGGGTAGCTATGATTTTTTGACACCCCCTAATTTGTAACTAGGGCTATAGATTATTTGGAACTTGGCCGGGGCGCCACTTTGTCACAGATTTTGTCAGGGGTCCGGGGAGGGGTGGGTCATGAATTCAGTGACTGAGTGAGTCATTCAGTCAATCCAGATATTGGCCAAGAAAGTTCATCAGGATTTTCAATTATATGGTTCCTCCATGTCATCAGTGTAGGACAGATGGCCATGCAAGTTGAAAGTCGTTCGGACTCAAAATGTCAGGTAATGACTAACGCAGGGGTTATTGTTACGACGAGTCGTAAAAATAATCCTCAGGCTATTGTTTATTTGTTACAACGATGCTTTCAGAGCACTCAATCGACAAAGTTTAGGGTTACCCCTAACCCTAATCAGGCCCGGATCCAGGATTTTGTCGAGGAGGGGCATACATTGGAGCAAAGGGTAATCATCAGAGTGCCACATGCATTAGTGGTTTGCATTGAGTGGCGTGGGCTGAGGAGGGGGGGGGGGCATGGCCCCCTGGATCCGGGTCTGTAGTGAAGTTGAAATCCATTGATCAGAGGAGTAATAGAAATCGATGGTCGTAACAATAGCCAGTTTAGCCACAGGACTATTTTTACAACTATTCAGTTTTTAACTTCGCTGATGGAGGGCTCTGAAAGCATCGTCGTAACAATAGCCCGAGGACTATTTTTACAACTCGTCGTAACAATAGCCACTTCAAATGACTAAAATCATTATTTCCAGGTCTACATGTTGTGTGGATGAAGCCAGAAGATTTAAATTTCAATCTGTCTAAATGTATGTCTGGCAAAACAACTTAAAGATCCAGTGACCTTATAAATTTGATTTTCTTTCCAGGCGCAAGCATTTAAACGATTCATGCCTATGTTTGATAGAGTTTTGGTAGAAAGATTTGTTCCTGAATTAAAAACGAAAGGTGGTATAATGATTCCAGAGAAAGCTCAAGGGAAGATTTCAGAGGCAACTGTAGTAGCTGTTGGTGCTGGGGCAAGAAATAATGTACGTATGTTGTCGTTATTGACAATACCATCTTTTCTTAATGACAATCCCATTCTACATAAAGTCGTCTGATTCTCTGTTGATTCTCTGTCGTGAGTTGTGGTTCAAATAGAAAAGGTTACTTTACTGTATAGGCCAGTTAGCTCAAAATATCCCAATGCCAAAACACCCATCAATTAATTTTGTATAAGCCCTGCATGTAGCTGGAAAATTTGATGTTTGTAGTTTCATGAATTTGACACACACACACACACACACATGGTGAATAAACCAGCCTTTGTGATACAATGCTTTATAATTGGAAATTACACCATAATAATATAAGTTGGTGATCTTGTTTAGATCTGTGAATGTAGGGCATTTAGAGTATGTGTGTTCTGTAGTCATAGTTTACATGTATAACAATTAGACCATTAACAAAATCAGACTTTCTTTTATATGGTCACATAGTTGAGGGAAATGGTATTGGGTATTACTACAGCTCTGGTCATACAACTTGCATTGACTGAATGATCAGCTCTGCATTTGTACACAATAGGCTTTGAAATCAAATATAGATTTTATCATTGTGAAAACCAGTGACATGGCCCAGTTTTATTCTAAAATGGTTGTGTAAGCTAATAAATTTAATTTTAATGTATAATGGATGTAATTAATCAATTGTGTTGATACTGAGCATTTGGCTATTCCATGAATACTCAAAACAAATAGTATTGTAAATATGATGACTCAGAAAGTATTTTAACTTCATTAAAAATAAAATGTGAAATTAATACGACAAAAAATTATGGAACCCAAAGAAGTGGATAAAGGTACCATTTAGTTTCATGCATGGACTGCCAAGCACTGTCTGATATTGCAATCCTGTATTCATTTCTGTCAGCTGAGCTATTGCTCTCTTATAAATGAACTGTATGGTAATTGGTAAAGTGCTTGAAATATGAAAATTTTGTATTTAACAAAAGAGTTTATTATTTAATAGAATGGAGAAGTTGTACCAGTTAGTGTGAGAGCTGGTGATAAAGTCTTATTACCTGAATATGGTGGAACCAAGGTCACATTAGAAGACGATGTAAGAATAGATTTCATACATTTAGCTTATGGAATACATGTATTGTTGTCTTACTGTCATTAAATATGAGTTATCTCCCTTCGATTGCTTGTTTTGGAGGAACAGTTTAGCTCTACATTGTATTAGTAAATTGATACCCATGACAATCTTTAAATTTTAATGTTACCTAAATAGCAAGATTATATCATCATTTATTACAATGACAGTTAGCTACAAACATAATGAATCTTACAAATCTCCGAATACATCCTTTAAAAGCTTGAATTCCTAAATTGCTGGGCTACCAAAATAATATTTGTTTACAGAGAGATAAACACTAGTCAGTGTGGACTGTTAATATTCAACAAATAGTATAATTAAAAGCATTTTATTCTGACTTATTGCCACCTTTTTAACAATTTTTTTTTATTTTTGTATATTTCAGGATTATTTCTTATTCCGAGATGGAGATATTCTTGGAAAATTTGAATCTTCTTAATACTAGTATTATAGGTGTGGTTGATCAAGTAAATGTGCCATTCGATCATAAGACAAATATAATTAGTAATAACTTTTCATCCATTTGTATCATGTGATTAAAAATAATCAAACATTTGTGTATTCATTAATACTTTACATGTAGAAAGAAGATAGACTTTTATGATTGATATTGAGATGAAGGATTTCTTTGGTGTGAATGCACATTACATGTATATTGTATAGAAAATAGAAAAATGTTGATCCAGTAGTACATATATTTTAAAAGATAATGATGATCCCAAATATCAAGCCATGTTTTAAATCGCGTCACAATTCAGGGTTGTTCAATACCTGTATTGTAATGCTGGTCATTTGATTTCAGTTGGGCCCTAACCTCGTTATATGGCTGATTGGATTAGTTCCGCAGCTGTGTTAAAAGCCACCATCATTTTTATGTCTAATCAAATACTTTATGGATGTTTTGATGTGACTTGGGTTATCTAAGCTACCGGTACAGTATTGATAGACTGATACATCTAGGTATTGAAAATTGCGTGGATTTTACCAGGGCTACTAATATTACAGGTTTGGCAAGGATGCAACAATTGAGACCTATACATAATTGCCTTTTTGTACAGGGGTTATGGTCTAAAGTTTTTATTTCCTTATAAGAAGTAAAACAAATTTGTGACCTGGCAAGCCTTTTTTTCTGTAGCTCGTTTGAGGGCACCTGCGTGCGACTTGATACTGGTTTGAGGTGCTGGATCACATATCTATAGGTCATTGATAATCATGTTAAGAGTTGTATTAATGAATGCCATGGTAATGAATGTGGGATAAGAAAGATCATTAACCATTGAAACCCAAGGGTCTGAGGAAACAGGTTGCACACTCTTTGTCAGTGTATCATTATCTCTAATTATCAGGTGCAATTACTGTCAAGATGGTAATGCTCATTGCAAAAATAACAACCTTCCTCTAGGTTCAACATGCTCTTAAGGTCAAAAGAGGGTGCTATATTTGACTAATCAGGGTCGTGGGTTCAAAGGGTCAAGATCAAACATTGATATTGTTCATTTAGAGTAAAGTGTTGATCATTTGTTTTGTACATGTAGTAAAATATAATATATTCATTACTAGCAGTGTGAAAGGTTAGAAATATAAAATAAACTTTTAAATAACTTGTTTTACACTGACTTGATGTTTTTTTAGGGGCATAGTTGAATATGGGGCATTACAGCCCTGAACTGTTCCCTAATCCAGGTTGCAACAAACAAGTGTTTTAATAAAAAAAAAAACAAGTGGGAGAGGGTACTATGTACTAGGAACCGATTTTGTCGTCATCCTTGGAATTGTGACCTCATATAAAAGTCATTCAGACAATGGATTCACAGACTGTTGACCAAGGAACAAACATGCCAAGTTTCCTACTTGAATTTGTGGAGCCTTAAGACTTTTTTTGAAGCGCGTCACCCCCAAAAAGACGAGTAGTGCTTATAGCCCAATTCCGGTTCAGAAAGACTCACATATCGGTTGGCTCTTATTCGATGACAAGGAGTAGGGTTGCCTACTTAAACCTGGTATGGGAGTTTCCAGGTATTTTATGGGAGAGTTTGTTGGTCTTACGAGAAAAATGTATTTTAATTTGACTTTTTTTGGAGCAAGCTTATAATGCAGATGTGATACATTTCTATACCATATTCCACATGCCCGTGTTGGGCTTGATTTGTGGAAGAAAATCGGATGACCCACAGAAAACCTCGAGATCAGGATAGTGCCGTATTAATCATTAGGCAAATAAGGCACATGTCCTAGGGCGAGCCAAAAATTCAGGCCACAAAAAATTAAAAGAAAAAAAAAAGTTGCAAACCAGCTACTGTAATCTTATAGTAATTACAGTACAAAAATTGGTTTTGATTTTTTTTTTGTAATAAATTTTCTTATGCTAACTTTCTTTCTTTTATGGGTGAACTCAATATATCTGTATTTTCAGGCCACCTATAAGAATGTGACTTAGGGTCAGCAGAGCCTTAATCCGGCATTGACTGGGATAGGCATGCAACCGTACTCCTTGTCAGTCACAAATCTGTAAACCGAAACCACCCTACACATGACTGAATGCCAGCACACACGTTAAACCATGGACCGTATACACGGTCCAAGGTTAAATCAATCGATCCCGCAAATCCGCAAACTTCAACTGCTCATCAAATATTACTGTTGCGATACAGATCTGCACACCAAATTTAAACTAAAAAGCAATTACAAAACAATACGATTGAAGCAATAGCCTACATATATATAATATAATGTATAGTGAAACAACATCGCCAATATCTCGACAACACTAGACTATTCAACTTATGAGTAATATGACTATTCGAGGCCCCTCCCAATCCCACACCCTCGCGTGTTTTTATAAAAACATTTCAACAGACTCGAGGATGATGACGGATGTTTAAGAGAGGGTTATCACACACCTTTGCCGGAGACCCCCACCCCAAGATCTTGAGGTCCCTATAGTATTAGTATAGACAAATCCGGCACAGTGTATGATCGAAGGGGACGCAAAGGTAAACAATGGATAAATATATGATGACAACAATAAAGTTTTGTTATATTTAAATTGGTCGTCCAAGGCTACCATTTTGACATGTATGTGCAAAGCACGAGGAAGGATAGCATTTTGATGCAGCAAATGAACATGGACAGTCAGACAGGAATATTAGTAAATGGACAACCCTACAAAAAATCTCAACATATACCAGCTCAGGTAAATATTCAATTCCCCATTTCTTTTTGCATTTAAGAAACATCTGCCCGACAGTCGAGCCCCATAACCACTGTTTGGAAATTATATTTAAAATACCTAAATATTTGGGTTGTTAAAGACATTATATTTTGTGATTATGTAAGAACTAAGATTATCACACAATTATATATACATTCTACAGTAGATATCGCTTGTGTGATAACTTTCATAATATACTGCGATACCTCCTTAGGACTTTGATTGGTCAGTTGAAAAGAAACTATTTTTTGTTATTTTCAAAGAACAGTTCATTTTTTATTAAAACTAACTTCTTTTTTTTTTATTAAAAATGAACTATTTTTATTTAAATGACCTTGATGGAAACACTGGGTCAATATAAAGGACTTTGCAATGATGTATCACTACGCCGTAATGTAGGGCCTAGGCCTAATCAGGTTCAATAAAAGTGAAATCTATTGCAAAGAATTATATTTATTTATTTGTGCATGAAAGAAAGGATTATATGGTAAATAAAATCCCTTACTCGTCTCTTGATATCAAAAAATATCAACACTCGTCGATAAAGTAAAAAAAAAACAAACTCGGCGTTGATACGGTATCAAAAGAGACACGTAGGAGATTCTCTTTTGATACAAATCTTTAGTTTAGATTATTACTCTGGTTAGCACGGTTGCTATGGCCAAATAGTGATTGTCAGATTATAATGATTATTGTATGGGCAATTGCTGTCGACAATTTTATTTTTCCTGTTCTTTATAAATATCACGCTTTCGGATAAAAACAAGTTTAGAGGGCCAAACAGATGACGTTATTATGTCCGAAGGAATATATCAAAACATAATATCCGATTGTTAAATTTTAATATTAAACCAAATTCCTATCCTAGACTTTTTTTAAAAAAAAATTCTATTACAGTAGATGTGCTATGGCGTATCTTTGTATATATTTTTATCATTTTTTGATTGTAATTAATGTAGTAATTGACCAATGTCTGATTAATATCTCACTAACTGTTTGAGCTTATACGTAATGTAACGACATTTACGTAATTATAGTTAATACCCGTTCATGTTATGTCCATATCATCTTCTGTATTTAACCATGTTTCATATGTGCAATTTCCCATCAAATATTATTATATAATTACTTTAACCTTAAGCTTGTATATGTGTTATATATTCTACTGTAACTATAGACTGATGTCAGGCTCGCCATAGCGATACCTATTCCGTTATTGTGACCCGTAGTCGGTTTGGGACACTCGTTAATGTATCGAAATGGAAATTGAATCCTTGAACTGGCCTCCGACAAGAAATCGAGACCTTGTCATGACCCAACAACAGACGTGATTATTTTGAGATTAAAACACGATTCATTTTTCTATGATCGTGTGTGCAAAATTTCGGGTGAGAACTTTACACGAAAAGCGGCATTTCGGCGCCGCTTCCTCCCCGAATTGCAACTGCCAAGGGTTCCTTTACATGTTTACGTGAACCGGACTTGAACATTTTCTAGATTTATCTGGGACCAGAATCCGTGCATGACATTTTCTAGTCGATATTCCAGTTCCATTACCGCTCGACTCCTTGAACGCCCCTTGGCACCCTTTCACACTACGTGCTGAAATTATTCGAATATAAATTGTTTTAAAATTTATTCATATATTTTAATTCATAATATATATGTATTTATTAAATGTAATTAAATCCCACGTCACTCATAAAATTACGTAACCAAATATGCATACCACATGAACATATTTTATAAATATGTCGATTGTACATTGTAGGAAGTTGGAAGTGATGAAACATTGAATGCCGGTTTAGGGAAAGAACAAGAGGAACTATGTGGTGCCGCTCCAACATTTGAGAACCACAATCTTAAAAACACTGATTTGACCATGATGTTTCGTATGTCCGACTTCGGAGGGGATTCGGATAAGAAAATATACCAGGATATCGTAAGTAAAATAAATCAGATTATTTCTTGTATACTATATATCAGCCAGCCCAAGATGTCTTAACGTTTAATATCTCTTTACAGGCATTTAGTATTTTTGATTTTATGTTCGGAGATATAAGTCGATCTAAATGTTAGGACAGTTGGATTAGGGATATTAGTCAACCTAAATATTGGAACAATCGGACAAGGGATATTCGTGAACCCTGCCTAACATCTAGTTTGGCTAATTATTAGTTAGGGATATTAGTCAAACTAAATGTTAGAAAAATTGGACAAGAGGTATAAGTCAGCCTAAATGTTAAGACAAACGGACAGGGTATATTAGTCAACCTTAATGTTAGGGATATTAATATTAGTTATCCTACATGTTTGATCACCAAGCAAGTCCCTCTGGATTTTTCAACTTGGTTTCCAGTAAGGAGGACTTGCCAAGGAACAAGGTCTAGTCGTTCGGATGTTACGGAAACCTAGATCCCATATTCACGTTGGCTTCCCACTGATAGTTTATCCCTTTTTTATTTCATTTTTTCTCTTTTGGCAGAAGACTGAAGAAAGTGAAAACAGTGATGCAATATTCTCTGTGCAAAACGAAGGAGAAGTCATACTAAAAATGGGCGTACTTAAAGCAGATGATTTTTTAACTGTGTATGATGATGAAGATAGCGAAGACGAAGAAGAGTCCACTTATACCTGTTGCCGATGGTACAACCGTTTCCATACAAAAGTAAAGAAATGGGTTAATAAGTATTCAAAGCGAATAAACGTTGTCTTCAAATTTATAACTTTCATTTTTTACCTGATGTACTTTGGCTATGCAATGTATTGGCGTTTTGGGGACGAAGGCTCAATGCGACTTTTAGTTTGCACAGTTTTAGGAATCTTAATAATTTGCCATAAGATTATTCAGAAGAAAGGATGTGCTTGTTGTATTCTGCCTGTGTTGCATAATCGTGAAAAGAAAGCATGTTATACAAGATGGTAAGTATACATATTTACTATTAAGTAATACAAATATGATTGCACATGCCTTTTCGTTAAAAAATGATAAATCTGAAATCAAGTGAGGAGCCAAACCTTTTTAAAGTTAAAACTCCATATTATTATCAATACCATAATATTCGAATTTAAAAATATGAATTAGAATTCAATATAGACCCATTTCAGTCAATATTGATGTTAGTGTCCTGCCGTGAAAATATACGATTCTAATATTTAATGCCATTTGTAGCAATCAAAGAAACCGTGTCCCACAATATAATGCGGAAGTAAATTGAAATGGCCGATTCAAAAACGACAAAATATTTTTTTTTTCAAAAACCGAGTGGAATGGACTAAACAATTTTAACTGTTTACGTATTTCACTGAACATAATTGATTCGAAATTATGATAAAATTATTAAAATTAAATATAAATAATTTTATATACACTCATATTACATTAGTATGTACTTTTGGACCCATTTTGCTACTACGGGCAGTCTACGGGGGAAATTTTAGTAAACCCGTGCGTGAGACTTACGCGTCACTTGCATGCGTTCGGCACCCTAGAAGATCGCAGACTGGCCGTAGAGACTTTTGGTACTGCGCCATTATAGTTAATTATATATGTTACAAGTCCCTGTAGGTTACAGGTCCCTTCGTTCATTGTTAGTTCTCGTGATACGAGACATCCGGGTTATCGATTATGTTATTGTAATGGTGGCACGTCAATTAAAGTTATCAACAGTTGTCGCTGTCTGTGTTTGTCCCTGTAGTACTCCCCACTAAACTGTCGTGGTGGCTGATTGTGGATTTATTCCTTACGTCTCCGTGAACTGCAGGACTCGGCAAACAAGAAATATCATTCAACAGGCAGGTTACAGTGTACTGTAAATAGATTTCTGTTGGCTCGCGTAGAAGCGCGCCATATAATTTTTATTTTTAAGACGAACCCCCATCAATTTATCAATCAATGGCTTCAACTCGCGCCCCAAAGCAGCGTGTTTTGACAAAAGATGAAACTATCACCTCGTTCGAGGCCTGGAAACAGAACCTTACATACATTTTATCTCTAGATGACAACTTCGCCCCATTCTTCGCTCCCGATATTGTATGGTCTAAGAAAAGCAGGGATAACCCAAATCGAGGCTTTACCGACGAACGTGGGAAGACTGCAGCACAAAAGGTGGTTTTTTTAGAGCTCATGTTGGGTCAAATCGCCAATTTTTGCCCGGTGATAGCCCGCAACACCATTATTCACAAGTCTGTGAGTATAAGCTCTGTTTGGCAATCAATCCGTGCTCACTATGGATTTCAGAATAGTGGGGCACAGTTCCTTGACATCTGTGATATGAAACTAGAAATGGATGAAAAACCAGAAGACTTATTTCAGAGGCTGATCGCCTTCGTTGATGACAATCTATTAACTGTCGGATGCGGTCTTACACACTATGGAACTCAAGTTACCGAGGAGGAAATGTCTCCATCCTTAGAAAATCTGATAACAGTATTATGGCTTCGTTTAATCCACCCCGGTTTGCCCAAGCTCGTTAAGCAACGGTATGGAATCCAATTACGTACATGTACTATCGCGTCACTTAAACCAGAGATATCAATGGCCTTGTCATCCCTTTTAGAAGAGGTGGAAACTGCTGAAGAGGTTCGTTGCATGCGTATGGGTTCCCGACCACCGTTTCGCCCAGACTCCAGACTGCATAACCCCCCGCCAAGGCCCAGGCCACAAACCTTAAAGCCACAACGTGTTACAAAAAGATCGCCTACAATGTGTCCTCTATGCTTACAATCCAACCGAGGTTCCACTGACCATTACCTCAGTCTATGTCCATATTTGCCCGAGAGCGACAGAAAGTTTATGTCACGAGCCAGGCAGGTTATCGTCGATTCTGACGATGATGAGAACACTGATATCATTTCAGATGCCAATAATGCTGATACGCCAACTTTGTCGGTTTCATCACGAAGAGTCCAAGTCGATCAGTCTCCCTATCTTGATGCATTCTACGACCACCATGCCATCCGCATAACCGTCGACTCTGGTTCCGAAACGAATATGATAAGTCATCCTCTCGCTCTCCAGTTGGGCATTCCTGTTACTAAAAGTACACAATACGCTACTCAGGCTGATGGCCGAACATTGTTAAACGTTGTCGGAGAAACTCGCTTTGAGTTGACAAGAGACGATCATATCTTATCATTCACCGCATTAGTCGTGTCCTCTATGGATGTGGAACTACTTGGAGGAACCCCTTTCATGTCTGTCAACGATGTAGCCGTGCGACCTTCCAAGCAACACGTACTTATTGGTGGCCATATTTATCCATACGGTTCCTCTTCTCCAAAGTCAAGTCCATCGGTACGACGCACTCAAGCTTCTGTTTTAAGATCGAATACTGCTACCACTATTTGGCCTGGTAAATTCATAGAAGTAGATGTCCCAGCTGAACTCGACAACATCGACACAGTGGCCGTAGAACCCCGGCTAGATCTCTCTCCCCATCAGACCGAAGCATTATGGCCTGCTCCGTCCGTCTTACGACCGATAGGCGGAAAGTTACGTATACCTAACTCTACTGATTTACCAATCATCGTTCGCAGAAACAGCCACTTTTCTCAGGTGCTACCTGTGTATAACCCCCTGGTATCACCGAATTCAGCCAATGACATACACACACTGACCACATCCATGCCCAATCCGCCCTCATCTGCTGTTACGCTTGATCCGGATGAAATACTGTCACCTCTTGTTCACAAGCAGTTTCGCACCCTACTACGACAATACGACTCTGTTTTCAGCACAACACCCAAGGGCTATAACGGTGCATTTGGTCACTTCACCGCAAAAGTCAATATGGGTCCAGTCCTTCCACCCCAACGAAAAGGGCGTGTCCCCCAGTATGCTAAAGATAAGCTAGATGAACTACAATCCAAATTTGATGAGCTTGAGAGCATCGGAGTCTTCCGGAAACCCGAGGACCTGGATATGGTAGTCGAATACTTAAATCCGTCATTTTTGATCAAAAAGCCCAATGGTACATACAGACTGGTGACTGCGTTTGGCGAAGTCGGCAAGTATGCTAAACCACAACCATCCCTGATGCCAGATATCGATTCAACCTTACGGTCAATTGCCAGTTGGACTTACATAATTGCTACAGACTTGTCAAATGCCTTTTACCAAATTCCCTTATCCGCGGATTCTATGAAGTTTTGCGGCGTCGCTACCCCATTTAAGGGTATCCGGGTATATACTAGGTGTGCCATGGGTATGCCGGGCTCAGAGACAGCGTTAGAAGAGTTAATGTGCCGTGTGCTGGGAGATTTGATACAACAGGGATTTGTCGCCAAAATTGCCGATGATTTGTACTGTGGGGGGAATACTCCTGAAGAACTCCTAAAGAACTGGCAGGCTGTTCTCAATGCCTTACACACAGCCTCCCTCAACTTAAAGGCCTCTAAAACAATCATCGCACCGAGAAAAACTACCATTCTTGGATGGACCTGGTGTCAGGGATCTTTAACTGCAAACCCTCACAGAATCGCCACCCTATCGACGTGTGCAATCCCTAAGACTATTAAAGACTTGCGAGCCTTTATAGGTGCATACAAGTTCCTCTCACGTGTACTTCCGCAGTGTGCTAAATATTTGAGTCCACTCGATAGCCTAGTGGGAGGAGGAGCTCAGTCTAAAGATATAATCGTCTGGACGGATGACACGACTGCTTCATTCCACCTGGCACAGGCATATTTAAAAGATGCGAAGTCTATCACTTTACCAAGACCCAACGATCAGTTATGGATAGTCACAGATGGGGCAGTCAGAAGCTTTGGATTGGCCTCCACATTATACCTTATTAGAAACGACAAACTACAATTAGCTGGTTTCTACAGCGCGAAGCTCCCTGAACGAAAACATGGATGGAGTCCCTGTGAGATCGAAGCTTTATCTATTGCGGCATCCATCAAACACTTTGCTCCTTATATCATTCAGTCTGGTCACGTAGCTCAAATTCTTACCGACAGTAAGCCTTGTGTTGAGGCTTATTCCAAGTTACAAAGGGGTGAATACTCTACTAGTCCAAGAGTGACCACATTTCTATCCATTGCCAGTCGATATCAAGTTTTCATTCGCCACCTAGCCGGCAAGGTCAACATTCCGTCAGATTTTGGAAGTCGAAATGCTCCAGATTGTGAAGATATGAGTTGTCAAGTGTGCTCATTCATATCGGTTACCATGGACTCTGTTGTTCGTGCCGTGTCTGTGAAAGATATTATGAATGGATCGGTCAGGCTGCCATTTGTTAATCGCTCCATGTGGCGCCAGGCTCAGCAAGATTGTAAGGACCTGCGTCGAGTGCATGCCCACCTTGCACAGGGCACTCGACCATCAAAGAAATCTACCAATATTCATGACGTCAAACGGTACCTCAATACCGTCTCCATCGCATTAGACGGAACCCTAGTCGTTCAAAAGTCTGACCCTTTAGCTGTGACTCGAGACTTAATCGTCATCCCAAGGGACCTGATACTAGGTCTACTCACTGCGTTACACATTCGTTTGGATCACCCCTCAAGCTACCAAACACGTCTTATCGTTCGTAGATATTTCTACGCATTGGATTTAGATCAAGCCGTGGACGCTGTATCTAGAAACTGTCAACAATGTGCAGCTCTTCGCAAAATACCATCTTCTATTATTCAACAAACTAGCGAACCCCCACCTAAAGCTGTTGGAACCTATTTCGCCGCAGATGTTTTATGTCGCGCCAAACAGAAAATTCTCGTACTCCGTGAATGTGTTACCTCCAAAACTTCTGCGACCCTAGTTCCGGATGAAAAGCACCAAACTATCCGGGACGCCCTTCTCCAATTGTGCATTGAGATGGTACCAGTTGAAGGCTGTAGTATTATACGCTGTGACCCAGGCCCCTGTTTTCAAGCTATAGTTAATGACCGCTTACTGAACCAACATGGTGTTTATGTCGAACTTGGCCGAACAAAGAACATAAATAAAAACCCTGTAGCTGAACACGCCATCCAAGAAATCGAGGATGAGATCCTCCGACAGGACCCTTCAGGATCCCCCATCACCCCAGTTTTATTAAGCTGTGTCATTGCGCGCGTTAATTCTCGTCTTCGGGCCAGTGGTTTGTCGGCTAGGGAAATGTGGTGCAAGCGGGATCAAATCACCAATGAGCAGTTACTCATCGATGACAGTAATCTCATACATGCTCAACAAGTGCGACGTCACCAAAATCATCCTTACAGTGAACGGTCAAAAAACCCTCTTGGCAAGTCTGGTCCTCCACAGAACGTCCGTATTGGGGATTTAGTTTATTTATTTTGTGATCGTGATAAAAACAGGGCACGTGACAAATATATTGTCTCGGGTGTTCAGAACGGCTTTCTACAACTTCATAAGCTGAGGAACTCTCAAATCCGCTCGAAGACATACTCCGTCCATCCTACAGAGGTTTACAAGGTAAATATTTCCCCCACAGCTTGCTCCGTTGCTTCAGATGATAGCGAAGATGATACGGTCATCATTCCTTCTGTATTGACCACACCACTCGACCCGACTGCATCAGCTCAACTACCCGACCGTGGCGAGGCAGAAGCATCAAGCAGTTCGTCAGAATCTGATCTTATCGATGATACCCTGAACATCCAGACCCTGTCAAATACAGCAACAAGTGTTTCTTCTAACATACCAGGATTACCACGAAATCGTACACGCCAGTTGCCTAAAAAACTAATAGACTATGTTCTTTATTAAGACTTTTAAGTGTTTTCATGTCTAAAAGTTATTTTTAATTCCATAAATTGTTCTACAAGAAAAGGAAAAAAAGGGTCGCGCCATTATAGTTAATTATATATGTTACAAGTCCCTGTAGGTTACAGGTCCCTTCGTTCATTGTTAGTTCTCGTGATACGAGACATCCGGGTTATCGATTATGTTATTGTAATGGTGGCACGTCAATTAAAGTTATCAACAGTTGTCGCTGTCTGTGTTTGTCCCTGTAGTACTCCCCACTAAACTGTCGCTGCACATACAAAACTTTCACCCAGTTTCGTGCTGCTGTCCTGTGAGCTACCAAACCCTACGACCCGTGCAGCACACACAGTGGGTTGTGAGCTAGGTTATAATTTGTGTCATTGTTTGTTATATTTCTTCAGGTTTTTATATGTTGCAATGATAACATTTGCTGTAGTTTATATAGTTATAGAGGTCGGGATGAAACAACCCCAGAATCTCGTATCTTTGGCTGGAATGGTTGTACTAGTATTGGCTTGTACTTTGTCTTCCAGACGAATAGCCGCTGTAAGTGTCTTCACATTATCGACATTTTCCATGTACTTTGAAAGCACATGCGTTGGTTAGGCCTATTTAATGTATGATGTTAAAACTTTCCCAATTCTAAACATTCGAGCGATAATAATATAACGGGAGTTATTTGCTTTGTTCCTGAAATCACCTCTATCGTTACTATTTAGAAGCATGTTGCGATCGCTACGTTTTAGGAGATTTTTCATTTGATATAAGCTTAAACTGTGCGATCAAGTGTAATCGCCATGAAATTGCAGGGGTGGGGTGGAGTTTGGTGGTGGAGTAAATTTGCAGCAGCTTTGAAATAAAATCTTCTGCTTTCAGATTGATTGGCATTGCATATTTTGGGCAATCTCTTCACAGTTTCTTTTGGCTATTGTTTTACTGAGGACAACGTGGGGTATCCTCGTCATAACCTGGATGGCAGATAGAGTGACGTCATTTATGGAACATGGCTACAAAGCATCGGAATTTGTTTTTGGTAAAACCTATAAAGACCATGGGATTGTCCTACAGGTTGGTTCAAAGGTCATTTAAAATAGTCAAAATTTGTATGCCTGTGTCTTATTATTAAAACATGAGTTTGCTGTGTTAATAATGTGGAATGTGGACGAGACACAAATGTTATGTAAAAATAACGTGAACTAATCCATGTGATTATTGAATTATGCAAAGATATAGTATAATTTATTATCTAATTTAACTTGAATAAATGAATAACTACACTTTTAGTTAAATAACTCGAAAATCTTAGAAGAAAGTAATAGAAATTTGGTGCAAATCATAATCGCTATGTAAAATGCGGGTTCAAAAATGTTTTTGGATTATAAAAAGGTTCCGTTTTTGGAAATGGTTTCGGGTTTTAGAAATGGTTCGGGATCAATCTATGAGTTTTAATAATAATGTAAATTTTGTATTTCTTTGTTTTCAGTCGATGCCTTTACTGTTTTTTATTGGTGCATTTACAGCTATTTTGTACCATTTTGGTGCCATGCAGTATATGATTAAAGCTATCGGCAGAGCGCTTTCATTAACCCTTTGCACAACTCCACCAGAATCTATAAGTGTGGCAGCTAATATGTTTCTTGGTTCCGTAAGTATATCTTGAACAATAGCATAACGGCGTCGAAGCGAATTAGTCTCCGACCGGGACAATGGAGACTGGCATGCACTATGCATTGTGCTATTAACTCAATATCATCCACAGTCTTCGACATTCAAAACATCAGCATTGATGTTATTATCTTACTGTGAAACGATGGGCTTCTGATATCCAGCATTTAAGACACGGTGAACATTTTAAAATTGGCACACTAATCGGGCCCCAGAATGCTTTTGAGCGCCATCTGTAATGCCGCGACTCGATGAACGAGGCTAAACATATCACAGGGGAGAATACTACCGATGTAGACTGGAATAACCAGACGCCAAAGAATGCTACTCAATTTGGACTCTTCACGTATTTCACCGAACATAACTGATTAGAAATTACAGTAAAACAAAAACGATTGAATGTAAATCAGTTTATATACATTCATATTACATTATTATGTTCGGTGCGACCCGTTTGTGTCCATTTCTAGGTGCTAAAGATTAAAGAATTAGCTCCGTTAAACAATGTTTCCTCGGACACCGGCGTTTCCACTGACTTTTAACCAAATTTCTGCTGCTATTATTTCCTGGGTACTGAGCCAACGCTATACCCACTGAGACACCCTTGCTCCCTGGAGAATTTGTGGACATACAATAGAAAGGTTAACAATGATTACTTCTCTGTATTATTATTACATTTGTGTTGCTGAAAATTAACGCCCAGTACATGGTTGATATTTTTACAGCATTCTTAAATTGTAATTATCATGATATATTATTTTTTTCTAGAGTCAGTCAGCACTTATTGTTAAACCATATCTTCCATACATGTCAAAATCTGAACTATTTTCCTTGATGGTTGGCGGATTTGCATCTCTTAGTGGTTCTGTATTTGGTATATTTATTGGTTTCGGGGTAAGTACATTCTGGTCTCTGTACAACCCCTTATACTCTATGGTCTCTGTACAATTCTGAATACTCTATTTATAACAGATCTCAGCCAAAATTATTTTATATTATTTATTATACTATAATAAATTTATACTATATTTATTTATTATACTATAATATTTATTATAAAAGTTTATTTAGCCGAATAGGGTTGGTACCCTGGTCACTATAGGATCGGGCAATACCATATGAACGAAGCAAATCTCATCAAGTTCCCAACCGAAACAACATTCCGAAGGTTTAGAAAGTATAAACACTTAACTAGCAAAGGTCAGAGAGTATGACAGTCATATCGGCTTGACTCGTTGAGCCACCAATAGATTTTATGCGCCGGCTACTAACAGTGGGATTTGTCTTCTTTTAGGCTCCAGCCGAACATCTTTTGGCAGCTTGTATTATGTCAGCACCAGCATCGTTTGCTATATCCAAGCTACTGGTACCAGAATCAAAATTAAACAAGAAAAATAAACACAAATACAGTGACACTATTCACTTAGAGTAAGCTGTTTTCATTTTATTATAATATAGTTGTTTATTGTCAGACTGTATATGCTAATATAGGCGTCTAAACCAAAAAGCTTTAATATTAATCGACTGGAGATGGAGTTCACTCTCTGCCATGGGAGGCTTTGCGAGTCGTTACCATTTACCATCTTAATGTGTAAGGATACCTGCCCAATTCATGGGTGTTAACGCCAATACATTTCTATACCTAAAACAGAAAGTTAGTTAGTTTGTTCCCTATAGAAAACCAAATGGACGAACGTGCAATGTTGAAAATAACTTCTTAATCACTCTTTTTATACGATAAGTTTAGTAGTGTTATTTTGTTTTGTATTTATTTGAACACAACCAAAAATGTTGTATGAGACATGTTAAAAAATATACATATTTCATTTGTTTACAGGAAATATAAAAATGTAATTGATGCTACTGGTAGAGGGGCTCTAGATGCTGTAACAGTGTTCTCTAGTGTCATAGTAAACCTGTATGTTTTTTACGCTGTTTTACAGTTTATTAATACCACATTAATATGGTTTGGTGATCGAGTAGGAGTAGAAGGTCTGACCTTCCAGGTGGGTAAATTTATCACTGAGTATTTATAATTTAAATTTATAACTTTAAACTTTTTAATTTTAAAATCGAATTTTTAATTAATTTTAAAATTGATTTTAAAATTTGTATAGTTAAAGTTCACTCGAGACAAACTCGGTCATTTAGGGACTAACATATCTTTCAATTTTATTAATTCGCTTGCGCGTATGGGTCTTTAGCAGTGGGGGGAACTGGAGGTCCCGGAGAAAACCCACGAGACTGGACAGGCGACCCTACTCCTTATCACGTACAAGCGGGGAATCAAAACTACGCCACTTGACTCAAGTGTTGGCCGAATAAGTTCACCCGATGTTCCGACGTGGCTTCCACTTGTCAGTGGTGCAGGGCGAAGGGCTGTAAAGGACAGCTGTCTGATCGTTCGAATGGTACGAAAAACCGAAGTTCCGTGCACGTAAAATATCTGATATAAAAGTAAGCCATGACGCCGCTGTCCGGGTAAAATTTCTTCCACAATACTCTGTATGGCGTCTGCCCGTCTTCAATAGCCTAACCGGAGCACAACAGTGGGACGTTAAACCCCATGCCGTTTTTATTTCATTTTCTACTTCAAATCCACATTTGATCCTAAAATATTTCAGTTTATGGTATCCTACTTATTTCTACCACTCCCATTATTAATGGGTGTCGATATTGGTGATTGCAGAGCTATAGGTAAACTGATAGGTTATAAACTAGTAGGCACCAACGGTTTAGCTTATATCATGTTGGGAAAGCTGAGAGACAACCGAGAACTATTCATCCAATATAGATCAACTCTGGCAACCAATGCTACCTGGAATTATAACGGAGATGACATTTTCTTGACACAGTGGAACCGGACCCTTACTGATGGTATTATTTCGGTATGTGTATTTTTTATATTATGTATAATCAGATCCATGCAGGATAAATGTAATACACCAGGCAGATCGTACAAAAGATACAGTAATACAGCTTTAATATTGAGATTGCGAAAGAAATGAAAAATTTGTAATAAAACAGGGGATCACGGTGGCTAAGTTAGTAAGACGCTGGCTCGCTAGCCTGGAGGTCGGGTGTTCTATCCCGGCATTGACCGAGAAATTTCATCCAGATTTTCCGGCGTGGTTCTCCCTTGTCAGTGATGCAGGACGGAGGGGCTGACAAGGAAAGCTGTCTAGTCGTTTGGATGGGACGAAAAACCGAGGTCCCGTGTACACATTGACGTGCACGTAAAAGATCCATTGATAGTTGGAATTCGATATAAGCGTAGGTCGTTGTGCCGCTGTCCGGGCAAAATTTCCCTCATAGCACACTGTATGGCGTATGCCCGTCTTCATTAGCCCAGTTCGGTGCAAAATAGTAGGACGTAAACCCCATTTCATTTCATTTCATTTGTAATAAAACATTTTTTCCTCGAAATAGTATTTGTGATGTGGACAATTAATTTACTATTTATAAACTTAATATTGAATTTTTAGGAACGATCAACGGTAATTGCTACGTACGCCATGTGTGGCTTCTCTAATTTTGCTAGTATGGGAATCATGATGGGATCCTTGATGGCACTGGTACCAAAGCGGCAAGGCGTGGTGGTAAATCTTATATTGAAAGCTATGATAGCAGGAAATATAGCATGTTATCTCACAGCTTGCATTGCAGGTAACATATGGAATTAATATACATAGTCGTTCGGAGTAGGCCGTAGCGCCGCTGCCCGGGCAAAATTTCCCTCATAGCACACTGTATGGCGTATGCCCGTCTTCATTAGCCCAGTTTAGGAGCAAAACACTAGGACGTTAAACCCCATTTCATTTCATTTCATTAATATACATAATGATAGATATGATTGTGTTTATATACGACACAATTCGGCCTAATATTTTGACCCACGATTCAAGAGAAAGTAAATGGAAAAATGTCTTTACAATTTGGTGTTCAAGATGGCGTTCCGCCTTGGTGTCCGTGTTGTTGGGGTCTAGAAGAAACTCTGGTCTACATAAATGAAATGAAATAGGTTTAAAATCCTACTGTTCTGCACCAGTGAGCTATGAAGGAGATTTTATAGAACAGCGACGATTCCGCCTAATCTTCTTAAAATCCAATTGCCAAGGGTTCATTTACGTGCACGCCATAGTGTTTACGGGACCTTAATTTTTCGTCTCATCAGAACGACTAAACTCTGTTTCTTCCTTTCCGTTCTGCACCACTGACAAGAGGAACGCTAGAACATATCGAGAAATTTTCTCCGCTAATCGTTACCTAACCCAGGACATCAGGTTGGTGAGCTATTGTGTTACTCAATGAGCCATCTGGGAGAGTTTGCATGTGACTTGGGTACTAGAAACACGATCAGAGAGAATTTGGTTTGAATCAAATAGGCAGGGTCTAGGGCAGATTGTCTTCTGATGGAACGAAACACTGATACAAAATACAATCAAGAGACCGAAGAGGAATGTTTAATAGCGATATAAGAAGGGCATTTGTATAAAAGATGCACTCATTGTTCTGTTAAACATAACAAGGTCATCTGTTTGACCCCCCCCCCCCCAAACATATTATTATCTGAAATTATGATATTTGTAACCTCCAGGAAAATGGTTTTATAAGCACACGATAATTTAAGAAATACATCAACTTAACTGTTCACATATTCATTGTTTTAGTTTTAAATACAGACAGCTTCGTAGATTTTCAGAAAGTTATCCCATATATATTTGGTAGCAAATATACCTTTCCCGGTAGTTGGGCTATGTTTTCCAGACAATGATAATATGATGATAAAACTGTTTAGGAAATATTATATATTTAACCTGGTTTCAAATACTTGGGTCCCATTGAATGTCAATTGCAATTTATTTTCTGGATATATTTTCCAGTCGATGATAATATATTTAGGCTCGCGATTGTTGAGGAAGTATATCTTTAAACCGGTATGAGATACTGGGTTCCCATTGAATATTAATAGTAATTTATTTTATGTTATTTCCTTCAGGTTTATTTCATTGTACTTAGACCACTTATAACAATACACAGCTGTTGGACATCACATACCGGTATTAAAGACATATTCACTCCAGCATAATTATATCTGAATTATTTTGAAAAATAAACTTATATGTACATTACCATAAATTTATAATTACAATGTCTCAAACTCAATTCAGCTATTTGACCATATCAATCATTTCATGTATGGAAATTGTAACAATTAAACAGTATTTTAACCAGGATATCTGAATTGGTATAAGGAACACATTTAACCTCAATGTTAAACTAAATCCCGTATACACCTAAATTAGAAGCTAATGCAAAAAGAGTTAACAAGATAGCAACGTCTTCTCCCCGACAGCCACCATGGAAAAATAGAGATTTGCACTGTGTTATTTAAATAAAACAGATCTTGAATAATTTTTTCGAGTCACTGTGCTACTCAAATTGATGTGATATTCGCAATCGAATATCTGCAGTTGACACTGAATCAACGAAAGACTGTTCATGGGCCTGTAAGATCCATAAATTGCATTTTGAAAAAGACGAGACAAATATGAACCAGGAACTTGGTAATCTTGTTCCCTAAAAACAAAATTCCTGTAGGGCCCAGACAATCGACATGTCAGGTTGGGTCTTTTGATTCCTGGACTTCGATATAGATATGACGGCTGATCCATATATAGCTAGTTCCTTGTACGGAACATAAGTAACCATTGCAATACCATTAGCTTAATCACAAGCTGCTCTAACCCATGCATTAAAATCAATTATCTTTGGGCAGTGTGGAGGTGGGGGTGGGGGTATATTTTATTGGGACAATGGTAGTCGCTTTGTTATCGTATGTAGACCAACAATCCGAATGATAATAGTGTCTACCTTGACAACCTGTAGAGTCTATATTTTGTGAGGAGTTGGGGAAGCATTAGGAACGTCGTCTCAGCGTGGTGCGGCCATCTAGAGCGTGGCATGGTCTTCTATAGAGCCTGACGATAACGTGGATGAGCGCGATGGAGATGTAGCTGAGCGTCGTGCAGGTGTGGAGCTAGCGGGACAGGCGAGGGCGTGGTGTACACATAAGGTACCAGATGGAACAAATCGCTTTCACAAGAACACGTGTAGGTATACATATATCCAGCCTTATCGTAATATTATATGTTTAGTGCATCTATGTAGTACATCAGTCACTATATATAAGCTCAAGCCATGCCATAACATGATTAATACAGCTAATGACTACGTCTACGTCAGTCATTATTAGCTCAGTTCTTAAAGGTCCTTGAAAGATTTGAGCCAGTGTTTCAGTTTCTGAGTAATTATTCCAAGCTTTTATGAAATTGAATAATGAAATTGGTAAGTCACATTTTGGACACTCCCTACTGAACTCGTCTTGTTCCATTTCCTGCAAAAAAAAAAAAAAATATTCATCTGACATAATAATGCTAGGTCCCAAGAACTAATCTGTAGTATAGCATCCGCTCTTTTCCTTCCATTTGTAGTTCAGAGGATTTGCAGATTTAGCACACCCGCACATGATTATAATGAATTGTGCCCGTGACAGCTTTTGTGTGCAGTCTTTACACATGGGGCTGAAGTGAAACAGGACAATATGTAAATAAATAAAAAATAAATCAGTTATAATTTCAAGATGAATTAAAAGCTGATAATTATGTGAATTTGCAACAAACTGTTCTTTTTAGATGGAGAGAGAGAGAGAGAGAGAAATGGGGTTTAACGTCCACTCCACACAAACCAGGTCATTGAGGGACTAACATGGTTCAATTTTATCTCAATTTGATTGCGCGTAGCTTTCTTTAGCATTGGAAGGAAACCGGAGAAAACCCGATAAGTTGGACAGGCGAACATACTCCTTGTCACATACAACCGGGGAATCGAAACCACGCCATTTGACTCAATGACACAACGCGCACGTGCCAACCATTAGCCCCCCCCCCCTTTTTAGATAGACACAGCAAGTATCCCTCACTACACCTTCACATAACTTACGTTAATAATCTAATGTGGTTAAATTATCGGGAACGAAGTACCGCCCTGTGGTGTATTTGGAACAGAATCATGTAGAATTTCCATCGGAATGGTCGAACGCGTGCTCTGTAAATTATAAGTTAACTGAACAAGTCATAGGCCCGATTTGGGTTTGTAACTGAGAAGGAGCTGGGTCGCCGGTTTATTGGGTTTTCTCTCGACTCCTTTTATAGGTTAATGAAATATAGTGAGTTAATGAAATAACAAGTACAATCGTACTATGGACCGGGGACTGACTATGTTATTGGATCAAATTCGATGAAGAATTGTTCAAAGAAGAAGCATTGAGACATTTTCACAGTATTTTATAGAACGGGCTGAGTAATTATATAGGCCCATTTATTATAAGAAGGTTGCACAAGCGTCAGTCTGACACTGTCTGTTGTTACCATGATTTTGATTACTGACCACAAAGCAGAATTATTTCATATGATCGAGAAAATGTATACAAATAATAAAACCAGATTCCAGTGTCACATTTCACCGCTGGTAACCGCCTATACTAAGACACAAATATTATGAATCATCAACAGTACCACGGCCACTTTTCCTTGTTTACGTTAGGCCTACAATAGTCCAATACAATGACGAGTGTGGATCGAAGAAACTAAACCTCGGCTAGACCCCTTGGTTACGGCCAAATGATAGCTGTAAGGGGCTAAATTACAATTTAACGGCCTACACTAAGCCCGAGAACGCCCGTGGCATTGTAAATAAATGAACATGCGGTTATGTTATGCACTCGGTGTTTTGACAGACTACAACCAACGTAGCAACTTCCAATATGGCGACTCTATTCTACCGGAAGTCAGTAGCTAATAGCCTATCTAGTCTTTATAGGATATCTATGGGTTTAACGTCCTACTGTTCTGCTCCTATACTGGGCTATTGAAGACGACGTCATAATAAGTTCGTAGGTAAAAAATGTTGGCATTTTTGAACTCGCGAGTATCGATTTCCTATACGTCGTTAATACATTTATTTACACAAAAGTCAACCGATTCGGAGATTTCAGCGATTTTCTGGTCCACTGGCGGTCATCTTGGATTTATGTTAATTATGCAACCGATTTCTGTTGCAATTTGTTCTAGGTGCATTGTTATCTACACCCGCCTAGCTAGACATAATTCGACCACGTGATTGTGGTAATAGGCTTAAGCGGCCCACACACATTCAATTCTTTCGTCAATTAATTGATGTCAATTAATTGTTGACGAAGAAATAAAACGTGTATGGAGGACATTGACGGCGAATTTATTGAAACTGCTAAAGACCCCTACTTGCAAGTAAATTTGGGGGGGTTGGATGGCCGAATTATTAGCACGTGCGAGCTGTTTTATAAGGTCTGTCATTGAGTTAACTGGGGTGGTTTTGAATCCCTGGTTGTAGGGTCGCCTGTCCAACCTCGTGGGTTTTCTCCGGGTCCTCCGGTTTCCTCCCACTGCTAAAGACCCCTACGCTCAAGCGAATTATTGAAATAAAATTGAACCATATGTTAGTCCCGAAATGACCTAGTTTGTGTCGAATGGACGGTAAACCTCATTTCTCTCTCTCTCTCTCTCTCTCTCTCTCTCTCGCAAGCAAATAGTTGAAATGAAAACGTACATGTTAGTCTCGAAATTACCTAGTCTATATCGAGTGGATGTTAAATCTAATTTCTCTCTATTAAGAAAAAACATTATACACACCGCCATCTTTTTCTCTGTTAGAAAATGTAGCAAAAATAATTATGCTATCCTTTTCGTACAAACCAGCCCAGTTTACGTTAAATTGTTTGATTATTGACTCGGCATGTGCATAAATATCTAATTATATAAAATGGAAGCAATAAAAAAAAGAACCGCGATAGAAGGATTTAGCTCTTACATGATGTATCTTTAACCACTTTTATTTCCTGACATATATCTGGGATTTCTCATTTAAACTGCTGAAAACCGTTGTTAAATAATTTGTCATTAATGCAATGAGGTAATAAATTGTTACCTGACACAGTAGACTGCACTAATATAATAGTGTATACTTGTGGTCCTGTAATGTCCCCCTTTCTTTCTCGTTTGTTGGTTAGAATTGTCACAAAACATATCAGGCGGTGATGCTCTGGGGTTGGGAGGGGACTGCAAGTGTGTCCGAGATAAAAGAATAAAGACAAACATAATCTATTTTTAGTAACATGTTTTGGGGATATTTTGGTAAGACTAAGAGAAAGATAAGATCTTACACAGATTCCGTCTAGGAACTACTCCACCTTATACACGGTTCGAAAGCTGGGGAAATTCTGACTTTTCTAACAATTATTTATTCTAAGTTGTATACAAAATAATAAACCTACGGAGGATGGATATGTTTTAATTTTTTCGGCGACATGCGATATAAACATACAGCTTTGAGAAATGTGTAATTTGAGATTTTTCAATAGAGAATCCTTGGATATTCGGAAAAATAACAAAAACCACCAGCCTTTCATCACCCAGACCCCCCCTAAACGCCCACTCTTCCAATACCCACAGATAGTCTAGGGTAAAAGATAGATATTGCGAACTATATTTTTTCCTATTGTGATCATACTTAAGGGCGTGTATTTAACTAAACCTGTTTTATCTTATTAAGCGGAGTGATTTAAGTGAACCGTGTACTCCCTCAATAGTTAGCATATTGAGGGTCCCGGATTGGCTTCATAGTCTAACAAGCTACAATACCTACTCAGCAGCATATTATCTTTTTAATAGCTACGTATTTAGAATTTTACAATGTCGCAGGTTAGTAGCTTTCTAAATTTACTAGTATTTATTATCACATATTTAGAGAAACAAAAAACCATTAAAAATATTAATGGTTTGATATTTTCATACGGTGTTTTACGGAATTAAAATATTACATGAAGACTAAACATATCAAGTTCACTTGTAGTTAAAACAATAGATTGAAATGTCTTCAAATTTATTCAGGTAACTGTTTCTGTACTCTAATAACCCTAATAAGAACACACGACATTTTCCCGTAGAAATTACATGTTGTTTTCACTTAGAATGTCATATGACGAATTGGCCTACTCTTGAAGTGAAATTTTCATTTTGTTCAAGCAACTGTTTAAGTAATCGAAAATCAGACTTTTAAAGGAATTACTACTATCACAGAAAGGCAACGGGGAAGAGAGGAAATTTAGAAATAATTGTCACTGTATCTACAAATGGCAACAAGGAAAACATCACAAAAGACTTTGAGGACTGATACTATTTATGATATAATACTTGTGTTAATATGATGTGTTTTTCGGTGAATAATATGTTTAAAAGTGGGACACATTGGATATGCTATAGGTAACTTACTTATGACCGTATATTGCGTCCCCAAACAAAATGCATGTAAGCATAAATATCACAGACGCGCAGGTTTTCATAAATATAATTTACGTATAATATTATTCAATATAGATTCCTTCGACATTGAGTGCCTAAATGTATTCAAACGACAGAGAAAAATATATTATTGAATAAAATATAACATTAAGATTTCAAATCTAAATGTCATTACTATTACATCCTTAGGCATATCTTTAAGTGTAAAGACTATTTCTAGTTCACATAATAAAAGGGCCAATCTCAAATTGTATTTTGGAGAATGTTTAATTTTGTGTTAAAGGCCCTTAAAATCCAGTACGTTAGTGTCGAGCAACTAACTCAATATACGTGATACGTTTTTAAACCTCATAAACCTGTCAATCTTCATCTGGAAATGGAGACCGGTGTCCCTTAAGCTGTATTATACGGTGTCTGGATAAAACCAGACTTTTATTTTATAAAAATAACGTGTAGGTGAAACTTACTTTTCGTTGTCCAGGGATAGCACATGGGTGACGAACGGTATAAACCGCTAAAGGAACGGCAATAGATTATCAGGTCACTCAACGGAAAAAAAATGCCCGGAAATAAGCAGTTATGACGTTCATGTCAAAACGACTCAGTATTTTGAGCTGAAATTTTGAGACAAGGTAAATACACCTCTCCTCTATATTAAGTAAATACACTACTCCTCTATATTAAATTACTTGCTATGTTGTATATATCGTCATTTCGTTTTAAATGCACACGTCGACATAGCGCATGGCGATATTTTGCGAACACGTCGATATATACTGAGGCGAAATGGAATATGTTAACAAAGCTTTAGAAAAGCAACATTTAAAACGAAATAGGGATATATTTAATAGCGCGTTGAATCAATTAACTTGGCAAAAAGTGTCTTTTCAGAGATAAAATCATCAGAACAATCACAATATGTTGACATATTACCAACTTAATATTGCGGTATCTATCGCGCTATTGACTCCTATAGGCTACAATAGCTACATGCTCCAGTGGCTTTATAAGTAAAAAAGGGTTGTTTTCATGTTGAAATAGATCTGCATTGCAAAACGTATGCTTTCAAGAAAACAAATCCATACAATTAAACTCTAATGCTAAGTTACCACTATCACGATTCGCTCTACGAATGAAATCTTGGTTTTAATCGCGGAGTAATCGTGGTGATCCACTGAACCTATCATGTCTTATATATTGAGGTCAGTCGCAGCACGTATACCAGCCCGTGGACTCAATAGAGACTTTTGGCAAGTGGAATTTTTCCCATCCGTATAACGTATCCGTATCGTCACGTGATACGTTGCGTTAATTTAGTTTTAGAGTTTTGGGTAGCTGAGCTGAGCGTAGTTCTATTACAGCATGATGGCAGTTATCTACCAAGATCAATATCAGTACTAGTCAAGTACCTAGCCTACAAATTCCTGAAAGGAGTAAAGTCGTTCGACTTTCGCGGAGTTATTTAAAAAAAAAAAAAAAAAAAATAGTGTCGAATCTTATTAAAAATAAAGGTCCCACCTCCCTAAATTTAGCACGTAGATCAACAAGCGTGCATACAGATAGGAAAATATGAAAATTCCGCGAAAATCTCATCCAAAGTAATAATTAAATTCCAGTCTTTGCCATGGTTAAAATCACATCAAATATACACCTTCGTTCTAGGATAGACATATATAGATTCATAAAAACGCTACGACACAACATTTCAGCGTCTAAAAGTAGCAAAAAAGACGACGACTTTTTCCGTATTAAAGCTGTTCGATACGTGCTGCCGTATCCGTGTGCCGTATCACGTATGAGAAATACACACGAATTGATGACGTCACACGCAAAATCATTACGGATACGCGATACGGACCAGGAATTTACGCTTGCCAAAAGTCTCTAATAAGGACATATTATCCTAACTCATCGCACGATGGGCCAATATTTCGATCCATGATATTACTAATATTAATGCATGGTTAGGTCAGAGTCGTCTTTTCTCTATTTTCGATATATTTATAACTCAGCCTCTCTCAATGGTGTTTTCCAATGTGATTATAGGTCAAACCACTTTACCTATATATGGTCCAATGCTTCGGCACAACCCTCTATTCTGAATCATATACCACTGAATTGATGTTACATAACTCCAGGGCTTAAACCGACCCATTTCAATTTACCTGAATACGTTTTGTACTTTAAAATAATTCTTACTTCCAATTTTTATTATAACATAGTTGGATAAAGTTATTAAATAAATTTGAACAATGAAAAGTATTTACTAGAGACTAAAATTAGAAAAGAAGAGATATCTTAACAGTTTGTAATGGCATATCTCATCTTTGTAGTCAGTCTATTGTTAATATACTCCCCAAGTGGGTGTATAATACATCCGTCTGTGGGGTATACATAAGTAAAGTTGTTTATTTCTGTGGTTATATTAAGAAGACATGTGAAAATTAATATACAAATACTAACAACCACCCAAGTGGACCTATATGTCACTATTTAACATACACAAATTGAAATATAATAAGTTGAGTATTTACAATAAGTACAATGTCTATTTGAGCTCTAGGCATTCCTTGCCATATCAGTTGAAAAGTTTGTTTCTTATACGCCTCCGGTATGCGCGATTCAGAAATTTAGCACATCGACGCGGTAGATTGTTTATGATGTATATTAATTTATCATTATCTTGCATTTGTGAGAATTTTAAGCATTTCGCTTCATTCACTATTGTCGAAGATCGCTGTTTAAGGAACTGTTTAAAATAAAGTCTTTCTCATCTTCTGTCTGTACAGTTCTGTGCATTTGACGGATTCGATCTTCGAACGATTCACCCTGTTTCCACACGAAGGGTTAAACACCGCATCTAAACTGAGCCAGTATTTGTGGGCAAAATTAAGGGCTAGTTAATTCTCAGTTTTAAACTCATTTTTAAAGACGGCATAAGTTCTGAGTTTTGGGGATTTGTTGAATTTTTCCTACCATGACGCCGCTACATTTGACAAAATCTTTGATTTTATTACATTGATATTTATTGTTATAGTATTCAGAAAGATTTAGTTTCTCAAATATGACTTTCATATCAGCACACCAGTTTTTATTAGAAGTAGCACAGCGGAAATCGTTTTCAAACACTTTCTTTGCCAGTCTATCGTTGTCTTGACTTAAAAGTCTATTCCAGAATTGAAACATTTTGATCCATCTTCTTTGTTTGTAAGGCATCCACCCAATGTCCCAACTCATTCCTGCAAAGGGATATATCGGTGTACTCCTCGTAGAAATCGCATAGCCTTTGTATAATTTCGTTTCATATCCCCATACTACAGCTCCATAGTTGGCAACGGGTATGACGCAGGCCTAGATGATTTCGTGCATGTTTTAAAATCAAACTCTTTAATATAGGTTTGATATAACCGAACGAAGGGCTCGCTCAGCAGCATTGCTTAGAGTATTGGCTGTGTTATCATGCAAAACAACATATCTGTTATTTCCAACACTATCGACTTCTTCCTAGCTAAGTTTAAATTTAATGTCAATTCTTGTGACATTACCCTCGACCATCATCAGGAAAAACATTCTCGGTCTAACGTACTAAAAGACGTGGTGGGCTTGTTTAATAGGACATAAAGGGGAGCCCTATGGAAATTTAAATCATTTTGATCGTCAATTACTAAGCTACTTCATATATAAGAAATCTAAGGACAGAGTCGATGAGGCTCGTGGGAAGATTTCCAATGCAGAGTTATATATCCGTTCACATTTTAATCTTAAAGATTGTCGACGTGACATAGTTCTTGGCGGATATATTTTTTTTATTAAAAAGAGATCTGCTATGAAATTCAGAACCTACTAACCCATGCCTAGCTGGCCCATCATTAATCGAAATAACCTACCCCATCAATCTAATCAGAAGGCACGCGATAACAGTTTCGGATGGAACAAACAACACAGATCCCGTGTACCTGTTGTCGTGTATAAAAAGGAACCTCTCACAGTTGGAATTCGAATTATAAGAGTAGGTCTTAGCTCCGCTATCCGGACAAAATCGTTCATAACACACTGCGTGGCGCGTGTCCGATTTTATTAGCCCGGTTGATGCAGTAACATATGACGTTTTTCATTTCCCAATACCTGTGTCGTCAAAACAAATCACGATAAATCGGAATTAATTTTATGTCGAGCGGTGATGAGTCCCAAAGTTTACATTTGTATTCAAGTGTAGACTTAAATACTTCAACATTCATTTAGCTGTGTAGGTAGAACGTGACATTATATATGTATATTATAATCTCCATTCAGGCAGTCATCCATAAACATACGTCTTAAATTACACGTATCTCTAAAGAAATCATACATTCTAGACGTTATTTTGCAATTTTAAAGACGCAATAAGTCTATACAAATCAGAATAATATTTCGTCATAAATAAGCCATTAAACATGGAATAATATGCATATTAAATTAGACATTATACCAGTCTTAAAGCTCTGTTACTTAAATATCATAAGGCCTGTCATTGAGTCAACTGGTTTCGATTCCCCGGTTGTATGTGACATGGAGTAGGGTCGCCTGTCCAACCTCGTGGGTTTTCTCCGGGTCCTCCGGTTTCCTCCCACTGCTAAAGACCCCTACGCGCAGGTGAAATATTGAAATAAAATTGGACCATATGTTAGTCCCGAAATAACCCAGCTTGTGTCGAATGGACGTTAATATCTCTCTCTCCCCCCCCCCCTCTCTCTCTCTCTCTCTCTCTCACACACAATTTCTTCAATAAGTTAGAGTGTTTATATCTCGAAATGTGTGTTTGTTTTAAAGATTAAATATATTTGTGTATGGCGATTATATATATTATATATCATGTTTTGGAGGATTTCTTTAAAAAGCTCTCACAGACTTGGGTTACTAAACGAAAATGTTTTTTTTTTCTTAAATTAACTAAGATACCATTCTTCTCATTTAGCAACTTGTATATTATTATTCACTCTCAAGTAAGTATTGGGTGGCCGCTTTGGATTATGTCTGTGTTCTCAACTTTCCTTCCGCACAGGGGCGTGCTGGCCCCGAAGGGGCCCAGGAGGCCCGCGCGCCGATGGCGCGCCACTGGTAGGGGGATGAAAATTTCCGCGTGAAAATTAGAGCTCTCAGGGGGGCCCGCTTATACGGGTGGACTTATTGTTTAATGGGGGCCTGGGAGGACACCGTCCTCCTAAACTCCCTGCCAGCACGCCCCTGCTTCCGCAAACGACTAAGATGCCATGCGCCCATTTGTGGTAATAAACAGTGGTGTAGTTTACTGTGCACCATTCTCACCCCTATCCCTATTTATCTTATACAACGAATATAATGCTGTTTGGAAGGTATTTACACCCGAAGATCACCTCCCCCATATTTCGCCTCCATCCCCGCAACGCCCAAGCCCACAATATTGAATTCAGATTCAGCAACCCTGAGATAAGATATTTAGCGTTAAACTTATTTCTCTTTTTTCCTTTCACCAGTACGATAAAGGCACATATGATCAACAAGGTTATGGACAGCCACAGCAAGGTTATGAACAGCCACGGCAAGGTTATGGACAGCCACAGCAAGGTTATGGACAGCAAGGTCATGCTCAGCATCATGTATCAAATACAACTGTGGTTATACAACAACCTGCCGCACAAGTAAAAGGCAAAAGACAATGGCGACATGGAATGTGCGGCTGCTTTAATGATATACCCATCTGTAAGAAATTAATCACAATAGTATCGTCGGTTGAGTTTTTTTAAGGAAATAAATAACTCCCTCGCAATCTAGTTATTTCGATAAACGGAACCCAATCAATCTTCATATCCAGTAAACGGGTCCGGGAGGTTTGGGAGTTTCGGCGCATAATAATATAATCCAACTAAATTACAAAAGTCCGTATAGCTCTTCTAATACTCATGTCAACAAAACGCATTAGAAATTTACAATCCGAAATATCTTAAATTTGTAAAACCATTCTATCAAGAGCTATGCCATGTGTTGCGTTCACAAACTTCCACAAATTTTACAGAAACTAAAAAAAAAAAAACAACATTATTTCAATTTCAGGCTTATTGTCTACATGTTTTGGACAATGTTACGGTTGTTACATGGTGACCAAAGCGGATGAACATTGTTGTCTTGGGTGGTGTTGTCCTGGTTACTTGTTACCACTTCGATCTTACGTCAGAGGGCGTCTCGGAATTGAGGTATTTTTAAATGAGAGAAAATATAGTGAATACATTCTTATTAAATCCGTTTGTTTGTTAACATCAAGAAATCTGACAATGAAGGCTGGGCTAATGAAGACGAGCATACGGCATACAGTGTGCTATGAGGGAAATTTTGCCCGGACAGCGGCAAAGGGATCTTTTACGTGCACGCCAATGTGTACTCTGTATACAGGACTTCGGTTTTTCGTCCTATCCGAACCACTGGACAGCTGTCCTTGTTAGGCCATCCGGCTAGCACCACTGATAAGGGGAACCCGCGCCGGAAAAATCCATGGAGGTTTCTTGGCTAAAACCGTGGCTCCCCTTAGTATATGACCCCAAGACTCAACGCATAGGGCCTACTTAGTACTGAGAAATATGAGTAAGGCAGACATTTTAAATATGTAAAAGAAATTGAAATAAACGTTTTAATTTAATATACGTCCATATTCTCATGTGGATGTATTATGTCGTCGCCCCTCTCCGTCCGCACGTCAGGACACATCCGTACACATTTGTTTGTAGTCACTCTACAGGTCACAATTTTTTATCCGATTTTTGATGATACTTAAAATATATGTTTATATCCCAAAAATCTTGATTCCTTTTGATATTGACACGTGTCGGACCGTAACCTCAAGGATGGAATTTTTGCCCTATGAACCCTCTAGATGTCACAATATTTATCCGCTGTTACGAAACTTAAAATGTTCGTTATATCCCGACGATCGCGGTTCCTTTCGATAATTTGCATGTGGACGTATATTGTCGTCGCCCCTGTCCGTCCGCCCATGGTCCGTGGATCCGTGTGTCCGTCCGTTCACATTATGTTTGTGGATAATGTACAGGTCTCAATTTTTAACCGATTTTGACGAAACTTGAAATATAGGTTGACCCCCCAAAGATCTTGGTTCCTGTCGATATTCTCGCATATCGGACCGTAACTTTTTTTGATTACTGACCATGATTGTATGAAAGTTCGCGTTTTTAGCTTGTGGGCCCTATAACAGTTACACTATAAACATGGTGGAAACGCATGTAATACATGTGCCAAGGTTGTGGGTCCTATAGAGGCCACAATTTTTATGACGAAACTTGAAATATGTGTTAACTGGCCTTAGTGTGTATCAGACATTCTGTTCCGGAGTTCTGCCCCCCCCCCTCGACACCCACCTGCCCTTTACTTAAAATACGACACATGTATAAGGTTTGGGGGCCCTCGGAGGACACAATTTCTGTCCGATTCAGATCTACGCGTTCGGCGTACATCGACAGTTCGGTAAGTGGCAGAGCAAATGGTTGGTTGCTCGATTCAATGCGCACACATTGACATCGGTGCTTCAGTAGGTCATGCGAGTTTTTGTAAAATTGTAATCCAAATTATCAGCTTTCAGAAAATATCAATTTTGTCCATGTGTGATAAGGCATATAATCTTTTTACTATGAACCTTCTAATATTCCGTATTTCGATCCGATTTATCGAAATTAATGTAGGCTATGCACGAAGCTAAAGTAACCTACCGTGGGATAATTATCTCATTAATGACCCCCCAATATATAGTTTTTCTTTAAGCTAATTAGCTTGAGGCTGCTTTGATTTGACAGTCTTTAACTGTTTTAGCTCTTGGGGTAATGAACTCCCAATATATAGTTTTTCTTTAAGCTAACTAGCTTGAGGCTGCTTTGATTTGACAGTCTTTAACTGTTTTAGCTCTTGGGGTATTGAGCTGAAATTTTCCTCTTTAAGGAAACAATTTTTCTTTCTTGTTATCATGATTAAGTGTATGCATATCGAATCAACACCAATAGCGGTGAATGCGGATCACGTGAAGGCTCATGTGACCCCTTGGTCGTACAAACTGGATACGATCAGTTGCCGTTTGCGCGTATATTATTATATTATTATGAAATCATTTATAGCGCATGCTTTCACAAAATGTGTTCAGATGCGCTGTACAATATACATTACCACATCAAAAAAGAATTTAAATATGAAAAAACATTTAAGAACCTATAATAAAAGACTATAAAAGTTGTATAAATAAAAACATGCAATTCAGAATAAAATAGTATTGTTAAATATGAAAAACTCTGTAAAGTTGCAAGAATCGACCATTATAGAAAAACTGGGTTGCCGAAAAAGTAGAACACGAACAACTAGCAGCAACTGATCGTATGAGTTCGATTTTGGTGCGAATCAAAACTCACCTACTTGTTTAATACAGCCTGTGTCGTTAATTCACTTTGAATTATTAAGGAAATATACCCGTATTACACAACAAACATTATTATTATTTATATTTAAAACACCGTATCTTAATACATGGAGGTTATGTCCTGTATATTTGCTTTGTGTTATTTGGGAATGCACTTGTAATAAACAGTCGACTGCAGAATATTGATGTTATAATCAACAAACTAAACAATCCTTATTTTGATCATTGTTCATTGTCCCCGATGCAGCTTTGATTTTCTTCGTTCTTTGTCCATCTCTTGCAAATCTGGGCGTACAGCAAAGTTAACAGTAATAATTTCAAATTTCAAGACAATTATAATTTTTATTTATCTAAGACCTTGGTAAGTAATACTGAAGTATCTCCATATTTAGGATTCCATGCAATAAATCTGACCTCATGATATTTTCCAGGGTAGCATTTTTAATGATTTCTGCGCTGTGGCGTGCTGTGGACCATGTGTGATGTGCCAGGTGGCCCAAGAATTGAATGAGAGCAATAATTCTGGCGAATGGCAGATGTCTTAAAATATATTTATTACGGATCTTTCACTTTGCGGTAGTCTCCGTCGCTTTAATCCAGATTGTCTCCGTTCGACGGCAACGAATTTGTCTGAACCAAATAGAGCCAATTGTGTATGTTCGCGTGTATCACTCCTACAATGGTTTTTGGTAAATGTTTCATTTCACCAGTTAATATTTTTGAAAATTTCCAAGACACGATGGGCGTCGGTTTTCTCTCAACCAGTCGTAACATGCGCGAATCTCCGTATAACATTTGGCATTGTTTGGAAACTTGACACTATTTTGTCCAACCCAGAATTCGCTGTAGTTGAGGCCGAGACAATTTAGACTGGAGTCATCGAGAATAACGGTACTTATTTTGAATGGAAAGATCTAAAATAGATTATAACAGATCAGCAGCATCCCTAATATCTATACATTTCCTCGACATATGTATATTAAATATGTATATATTTTCTTTGGTCTATTTCCGTGCTTGATAACAATTTGTTTTACATCAATCGAATTAGATTACAATTTTCTATTGTTTTGGGTTGTTTTTCTTTTTTTTCTTTTTTTCTTTTTTTTTTGTTCCACTGCATTGTAACGGAGAACAACCCCAAATATGACACGAAACCAAATTAATATATTGTGTAGGATATACCACCATGTAATTTTAGACGAATTAATCGATAACATTAATATTCGTATGCCGCACCATAAAGTGTCAAACATATTTTCTATGATGTATATACAGTTATGCTTTAGACCCAGTTTGTTCTGAAATAAACAATTTCTCATCACTTGATATTAAAGCGAGGGTCTGTATCTTATATTACATAAATTCAACAATTAATGTAAGGTCATGCTGATGGCCCATAGCGCAGCAAGCATTGGTTACGATAAGGGTGACATGAAATAAATTTATTGTTATCATAAATAAATGTTTTTAACCAGAGTGTGTTTTATGAATGCTAATAAAGGAGCTAGACCTTATTAATTTAGGCCAAAAGACTAATTTTAGTTTCGCTTTTCGATTAAACTGTCGACAATCAGGTTGATCTCAACACTGGCTCTCCCTGTGGATCTCAATTTTACAAAATGCAAATCAACACATTAAACTTAATTAAATTGGCAATCCTACGTTTTATACACAAATCAAAGGAGTTTTTTTTTATTAAAAATAATACGAATAATACAACTGTATTAACATTTTATTGTATTACTAATTTATATATGTACAATTGTAAACCATTGGTTTAAAAAACTTTCTTTTTTATATCAAAATAAACATTTAATGTTGTTGTCGGGTTGTTTGTTTGTTGTGCTGGGAAGTAACTTGCACGTTACTCTATGAAGATATCCCTTTAATAACAAATGAAATGAAATGGGGTTTAATGTGCTACTGTTCTGCTCAGCCTGGGATAATGAAGACGGTCACAAGCAATGCAGTGTGCCATGAGGAGAATTTTTACCTGCTCTTATATCGAATTCCAACTGCCAAGGGATATTTTACGTGCACGCCAATGTGAACATGGGGCCTCGGATTTTCGTCCCATCCGAACGACTAGACAGCCCCCGTTCTGCACCACTGACAAGGGGAAACCACTTACTCTTGAAGCCACCGTGACAACCCCCTTTAATAACTTCGTCCAACTTAAAATGTCAATTTAAAATAAATTATTGTATACCCAAGGGGAAAAACATAATTCATTTTAAAACAAATCATTTTTCCGTGAAACGCCAACTTTTTTATTTTATTTTATTCTATTTATTTATTAATATATTTTATTTTACTGCTATTAACGCAAACTATAAAATTATACAAAACAGCACATCTTAAATCAACTCTGTTTTATAAGAAAGAAAAACAATTATATTTAAATAATGGTTCACTTTAGATCAACGTTATTAAAAATAACGAATAACAAATCGAAATTTAAAAATGGATTTGCGTCATGCCCGCGATCAGGTTTCCATATTCAAATTTTTAAACTTTTGTTGTCTCCTGTTATTGATACAGTATGTCGGAATATTAGTGTAATATTTCGCCGCATTTTTCTAATATGGCTCACGATTGCCATGAAATGAAATAGGGTTTAAAGTTCTACTACACCGATTAGGCTAATGAAGAAGGGTATACACCATACAGTGTGCTATGGGGAAAAATTTTGCACGGACAGCGGCACTATGGCCTACTCTTATTTCGAATTTCATTGTCAAGGGTTCTTTTACGTACACAGGACATCGGTTTTCGTCCCATTCGAACGACTGCACCACTGACATGGAAGAACCATGCTGTAAAATCCCGATGATCTTTTTCGGCCATACCAGGATCGAACACGGGATCTCCAGGCAAGGGAGCCAACGTCTTACACATCGAGACACCGCAGCTCCCGATTGCCGTGTACGAGACAGGGTATTGTATTACTTTCGAGAACAATAATACCACATATCATTGATTATAAAAATTTATTGAATCTATCATTAATGTATTGACACCGGCGGCCGAATCGTTTATCAGTAGCCTAATTAAGCATTATCTGTGTATTAACACAACTTCTTCCATAACCTTCAGATACAAATGAAATGAAATGGAGTTTAACGCCCCACTGTTCTGCACCGACTAGGCTAATGATTATTCATTATTCTTATCATTTATAATTATTAATTATCACAATCTAATTAAAACACAAATACTATTTTGTTTCGTTTTTTATAGTTAAAATTTCGTTTTCGTCGATTCACCGCCCTTCGTGTATTGAAGGTCATTGGGAGTATGACAGCGCTGCCAGCTAAGTGTGGAAATACGCCCACACAGCAACTATTTCTAGAACAACAGATAGCCATAGACATTAGCGTACCCGAAAGGTAAACTTGAGTGTTAGACCACAAGTTTTTCTGGACAAGTAATATCTCTCTGGAACAGAAAGTCCTAGAATGCTGAATATCAACAGGATCCACTCTCTCCGATCCCAACGCTTCACACCAAGTCTGAAAATCAATAGCATTCATCTCCCGATTGAAAATAAATAGGATTCGTCCTCTCAATACCGCAATGCTTTGCGTAATATGTTCATTTGTTTAAGAGGAAGGATGTGGGGGGGGGATCCAGAAAGGAAGGTCGAGGAATGTGGAAATTCGACAAAATTTCTCATTTTATGACTCAACAAGTGCTTCACTTCAAATATGAAATATTGTTGGCAGGTCGAATGGGACAGCAACATAATTCGCCCACACTGAAATGTGGGCGTCTGAATCCAAGCTAGATATAGATATGTGTTATTGAGACCGTCATTCTCATAAAAACAGTCGAACTCCCACACCAGAATGTCTAGAACGGTAGAAAAAAAGTTAACATTAATACAATGATGATAATCAACCTGCCATGAATGACATTTAGTTTGATAGTTTATTTCCCATATGTATGTATCCAACTCTCTGTGTCTTATCATAAAGACGATTCAGATAATACGGTTGATTATAAAGTCTATTTATATTCTGTCACGCAGTTATATAGTTAAGGTTAGTGTTCAGGTTTTGGTCTGTCCTTGAAGTCTGTTTACATATATCTAACAATATATAAGATAATTAAAGAGACCGTTCAATATCTTTTTTTACCAAATACTGTCCGGTCAAACATGAGATTCATTTTCAAGCCCATTGTCAACAGATCAGCTGTAACGTCTCACCTTTAGGACAAATATGAAAAACACTTCACAGACTCTTCGATAAATACTATCCAATTTATCTGATCAAAACTGAAATTCATTTTACAAGCCCCTTTACAAGTCTTAGCGGAAACGTTATAGGGTCTGGCCAGGAAACATGTCTTTCGGTTCGGACTGTACAGATCCTTTGATGGTTTGAATTCAAAGAAGATCGATGTATTTAGGGAAACCATGTACCAAACCAAAAATGATTTTAATGAAGTGATAAACACCGGATCAAAACCCAAAACGTTATACTTCTCGTTTCCCATCCTCACAGAATAGTTTTTTTTCGGGACTGACATACGGTAAAATTTTATTGTAATATTTCCATTGCACGTAAGGGTCTTTAGTAGTGGAATGAAACTGAAAGACCCGGGAAAACCCACAAGGCTGGATAGGCTTGGGATAGAATCCACGCCACATGCGTTACACTGAAAAAACCCTTGTGTTGGATCTCAACACAAGAACTTGTGTTAAAAATATTTAACACATGTTTGTGTTGTATTGCATTGCAATGACACAAGTTTGTGTTTTTTTCAATGTCTTAACACAAACTTGTGTACATTTATAAAATCTTATGTGTTTTTTTTCCATATAATTAATTACGTCGACATTAAAGATAACATTTATTATGTTCCTTTATCACTAGCCTATATGTAAAGCCACTCTTCCTGAATTTGAATGTCGAGTAATTCACTTGATTTATTTTTTAATATTTCTAATTATCTAAAAGGATATATTAATTATTACAAACATTAAGTAGAAATCGCAATGTTTGTATCGTGCGATGAATTTAATATATCTTTTAAAACAGCGTATTTTATAACAGTATACTGATATAAGAGATCAAAGTTTTAGTCAATTATTATCTAAATATAAACTATTTATTTAATTAGATATAATAAAAGATTATTCTGATTCTACTCTTTGTTTATTTTCACATCTTGTCTCAGACAATATACAGAGACAGGTTATTATAATGTCTGCATTTGGAAGTGTCTGATTGATATCGCCCCAATAAACTTGACACATCAAAGACAATAACAATTGTGTTATATCTACGTTTTAAAAAAATGTTTGAATGGGCGTGGAAATAGTCGAGTTAATCTTTTTATTTAATTTAATTGGTTCATTAATCGAAATTGGAAATTTATTCTTACCTGTAAATGACCAATTAAAATGAATTACTCTTAAAACAAAGAAAGAAATATTTATTGAAGTAATTTTGCGGTATTAAACCCTGTGGTACTGCAAATGTTAACTGTATTATTAAGCTAGTATCGAAAAAAGTGATATTGTTGTGAAAAAAGTTTGTCAGAAAATAAGAATATCAGGTTTGTGATTTTGGTATTTTTTAATACAATGTATTTAGAACGCAAATTTTTCGTTTCGGTTAAAACAAAATATACCTCCATTTTAATTGGCCGAAGGATGTGTGACTAATAGAAATATGGCGGGCGGACAAACTGACCAAACAGTATATTTCGAGGTATTTGAGGTAAGCTAATTTAATATTATATCATAACTGCATGTGCATAATTGTGTTTCTGTTTGATTAAATATTCAAAAAATCATTCTTAGGATACAACCTCGACACCAGTCCGCCCTGAATTGCAATGTTTGTTTTGTGTTCTGGGCGCCATTTTGAATATAATACAATCCAGCGATAGTGTAGTCTAATTCCTTTAAAAGGGAATCCGAATTTGTTAATTTTCTGCAATACCACTTCGGTGGAAGCGGACGTTAAATAAAGCTATTTCACGTACAAAGACCTACGATAAAATCCAGGTGAATTGGGAAAAATATTCATGTATTTTCTTGATGAAGAGTAGCTATTTCAATTTGTAAATGCCCAGTCATCTTAGACAAATAATAATTCCAACTTCAAATCAGTTGTATTTATTCAAATCATACCATGAAGAATTGTATTTTTCCACTTGCATAATAATAAAAACTTGACTTTTATTATTTTATTTCTTCAGGCCAAGAGCACGGAAAATTGGTAATTGCCTTGTATCACTGCTAACTATAAATCACAGGGAGCCTTTGGCAGAAATGATAATATGGTTCTCAGATATGTTACTGTGTACAGACTGAACAGAAAATATTTATACACTTGCTATTACAGTACTGGCCAAATTAATAGCAATTTTTTCTAAAAACGTTGCAGAAGTAACTCACTAAAATTGAAGTATGAATAAAATCATACACCGTGAGTATATTGAACTGAATATTCTTACACATAACCATAGGCGTACGGGGAAATTTTTGACTGGGGGGCGGTGGTGGTTGGTGCCCCAAAAATGTAGTTAGGTTCTTAATATGTTACATAATAATAATAAATTCGCTGTTAAATTGGACACATTCAAGAACACAATATTTTTTTATACAACTTTTACAAAGTACAATTGTGTGCCCAAATTTCCCCAGCATTTGGTTCCCAGCCCCCCCCCCCCAGCTCGTACGCCTATGCACATAACCATATTGACATCTACTTCACATTGCATGGTTGGTCGACGCAACGCCGTGTATAGATAAAGTTGCGACAACTGTGAAGCCAGGAATTTCATATGACGTCATGCAAACTTATTA